CATTGAAAATGGTGATTTATAGTGGATTTCCCATTGAAAATGGTGAATTTATAGTGGATTTACCCATTCAAAATTGGGATTTTCCCATAGAAAATGGCCCAGTCGGAATAGTGGATTTACCCATTGAACATGATGATTTTCCAGTTTGCAAAGTGTAAACGTTTACCAGAGGGTAATCCCAGTTGCGAAATTTCAGGATCCAATACATGGAGGTTCCCTAAACGTAGCATATTTAATTGGCCTAATCTATATTTTGTGGGGGATATTCCCATGAGATGTTCCTGTTTCATGGCCATTGATTCTTGTGGTAAACCCAATGCCATAGACCATCCCACACTGATAGACTGGTTCATTTGGAGTTTCTAAAGCCCATTAACTAGAATATAGTATAGTACGACATAGTTAACTGAGTTATAAGATGTTATAAGATATATAGTAGTATATTATTCACTATTTGTTATACTGAGTATAACATAGTTACAGTCAGCTATATTATAACTTTATACTACATTAAAGTATAATATAATCCATTACCAATACTATGTTATAACATGTTATAATTATAACCCACAAAAAAATGTTATAACTCATTACAATGTTATAGTACCCCCAGAAACCAATTTGTTTAGCTACAGTACTTATAACCTTAGCATCAAGCCTGGCACTTGAGGAGCTGAAAAGAAGCTCCTCCACGAAGTCTGTGAAGGCCGGGAGGGGTCTTTGGGCAGTGGATTTTAGGGAACAGAGATAGGGAAAATTCATGGGAAAACATCGGGAAATTGTTGATGAAACTGAAACAACTAAACCAACATACCCTGAATATCGCTATTCTATCACTGGGGCACAACTGACAGTAAGGATCCAGTCCCATTGTGATAGTATTATTGGATTTCTCAATCTCATCCCTATCATACAGAGTGAGGCCCACGTTTACGATAGCTGCAAGATGCTGCAAGTTGATGCACATAACTTGCTTAATCACGGTGTTTGGGGGATATTATAGTTAATGAGGAGAAACTATGTAGACCACCTTACAACTCAGAACTGATGGCTCTCAGCAATAGTATGTTGGCCTTGAGATAGCGTCCTTAGGATATGCTTGGATCAGCCTATCAGATATGGGATTATGGTCCGTCGTGACTGATGTTGAGAATGGGATGGCTTGAAACCACCAATCAGTCATGTCTATGGGGATATGACATGGGACTATATTTTGAGGGCTGTTCACAGACACGATGATCACATTGTGGCAGTTCATTTTTTGAGTCACCAATTTTGGGCGGTAAAGTTACCGTTTCAAATGTTTATTGGCATCAAATCCATGGGTTGATGTAGAGGAACATAGAGATCATAGAGCAACTATATACTTCATTCATTGGAGTTTGGAATGTGCGTTTCCATCCAAAGATAGAGGGTTTATTATTGGGCCAGAAGAAATTGGGTTTTCCCAGGGCATTTACAACTAATCAGCAATCAGAGGTAGATGAAGTGAAACACAGAACGCTTGGGGGTGAGCAACGAAAAGAACCAGAAAAGTGGGGACATTGACTTACTGGTGCGTTTTACGTAGGGTTGCTGGATGGGTTGCTGGGGGTTGCTGGGATTATTACTATTACCCTCTAGTAATTTAACATAGCTATGGAAAATCACCATTTTTTAGGGGAAAATCCACTATTTCTATGGTCATTTTCAATAGCTATGTTAAACTACCAGAGGGTAACTGAGTATAACAAACTATTTTCATCAATTTTCCAATGAATATTTCAGTTCATATTCCATACAATATCCCATAATGATCATAATGGCCATTATTCCATATAATAGTTATTGTGGATCATTCCCGAAAATTCCCTACGTAAAAAACACCAGTGAGTTGAACAGACAAACTTTCCCTCGTTTCCTCGAGCTGAACGGAGAATCACTAGGACCTGGGGAGATCGTTGGACAGAAAGGTCTGGGGTCACCCTCTGGTCGTTTGTTTTGAAGGAGATACCCTCTGGTCATTTAACATACCCTCTGGTAAACTAACATAGCTATTGAAAATGGCCATCTATAGTGGATTTTCCCATCAAAAATGGTGATTTTCCATAGCTATGTTAAATTACCAGAGGGTAACTACTGAACATCACCATGCGATGAAAATGGGTAAATCCACTATTTCGACTGGGCCATGGCTTCAAGTTCGCAAAGTGTAAACGTTTACCAGGCCGGCTATCTTCAAGTTGTCGCCATCTTCTTGTGGAAAAGATGATGACCCTGGGATAGGACAAGACAACTGCGAATAGTTTTTTCGACAAATCCCTGGTGACTTTCGACTTTCGAGTTTGGCCAAGACAACCAGATAAATATTAATATATGTACATATATATACATAATATCCAAGGGTATACAGTTAATATATATATATATATACATATACTTTTGCTTGTTATTCTACCCCATGTTAATTTAACAGTTTGCGAACTTGCAAATGGCCCATAGAAATAGTTGACTGTGCGCTTTAGCTATGGTGATTTTCCATAGCTAAAAGTTGAATTACCAGAGAATGAGAATGATCATTTTTGACTCAGAACCAACTCGCATCTGGCGAAAGTCACCATGTTTGTCAACCATGTGGATAATATACTTCACCCATTTGCTTGCTGCTTAACTTCCATTACCTTTAGAGCGGCAAAGTTTCAGAGTTTTCTTGAACTCCACATTCCAATCGCAAAAAATGTTTCACTGCAATTTAACCAAGAAAAACACATGACATTTGTTCAACATATGAAAGTTACATGATTGATTCAATCCTTGAACCAAGAACCATTACCTTCCGCCGATCTCAGCTCTGCATCTTAAGCTCTGCCCACGCTACCGAAACCGAAGCTCCGCCCTGCCATGGAGTGCCCCATCTGCTTCGAAGTGCCCGAGGCGTCCCAGATTATGTTGCTGGCCTTTGACAATGGTGGAAATATGGTTTCTGTGGGTTGTTACCCTCTGGTAAACTATCATAACTATTGAAGATGGCATTCGAAATTTTGGATTTACCCATTAATAGCATTGTGATTTTCCATAGAAATAGTTGATTTACCTATATTTACCTATTACAAATGGATTTACCCATTAATAGCATGGTGATTTTCCAGAGTTTATGTGACAGTTTACCAGAGGGTACTGGGTCGAACTTTCACCGATGACTTCAGCAAAGATGCTGGGTTCTCATGGGGGTTTTTATAGGGAAATTTCCTACGGTTACCCAACTGAATGGATTGGTTTGTTGGGGGAAATCTTAACCGGAAACCATCGATTTTCCGATGACATATATTGAAATATGGGGTTTTCCTGTAAATGTTCCCGTGAAAACCAATCCATTGACCAACTGAATAAGAAGTAAAATCCTTTAATCTTCTGCCATAAATAGGAATATCTATGAAGATCTACGTTAACCAGCCAAGAATTAAGTTTTTTTTTTTGCAAGGTAGCTAAGATTGGCAATGTTTGTCGGCAGTTTCTTTTGTTTGCCATATATGGGGGGGATATTATATCATCATGGTCATATATATATATATATAGACATAACTAATTATACATCTATAATCATATATATATATATATATGTATAAATAGATAAATACATATATATATATATTCATGTATAGTCTATACACACTTACATATGTTTGGCTAAACCATAAAATTCCATTAAACAGCTTCAACGCTCGTGAAATCACCATGTTTTCTCCTCATTTTCTCGGGCTCAGGTCCTACGCCACCATGAGCAACCACAGCTGGCAGATCCTTGGCGTGGGACCCACGGATTGTGGGTGAAAAAAACCGTATACAAGGTGGTGCCCCTCAGTTATAAGTTGGTTTATAATCCCATTAACTATAGATATATCTACCATAAGTCCTAGTTAATTATTAGAGTTATAAACCAACTTAGCTATCTTGGGGGCACCACATTGTAAGGAACATCGCCACTATATCTAGGTTGGCCAACTGGATGGATACATAAAAATCACTGGATGGATACATAAAAATCACCATTAATCAACATTAATTACCATTAATCAACATTATTAACCATTGTTGACCAACTAGGATGGGTACAAACTAATCCTTTAGTCTTTGGTATCAATGGGATTATCTACGAGGTAAGAATTTGTCATTTTGATCATTTTGTCTAGGGTATCTAAGATTGGCAATGATACTGGATGAAATATGGGATGAAATATCTATAGATTATCTCGATGAATGGACTATCCCCAGCAGATTATGTGCCATATGTGGATGAAACATGGGGATGGGTCAATACCTATAGATACCATATTTTTAGTGGGTTATTCACATCCATAAATCCCAGCTATTTTGATGTTCACGGCACGGTACCAGGGTTTTGACCCATCCCCACATGGGTCATATGTGGGTCCCCATCCAAGTGGTCCAAGTGTGATTGTGTGCATCCCCAAGCTTGGATGGCTAGGGAAAATCACCACAGATACATAGCCGGCCTGGTTATGTCAAAACATAGAAAAACCATAGGAAAAACCTAATGGAAAACCATAGGAACATGGTGATTTTTCATGGTGATTAATCCATAATTATCCTCTGGTAATGACTAACAGTTTGCTATTGAACATGGCCCAGTCGAAATAGTGAGTTTTCCCATTAATAGTAGCATGGTGATTTTCCATAGTTATGTAACAGTTTACCAGAGGGTATTTATTTTGTATCAAGATTGACCATGAAGGGGTAAGTATCCCAAAATGGCCTTAAGTATGGTTTAGTTTTATTATTTTCAATAACGCAGTAATGATGTTACTCTCTGGTAGACTGTTACATAACTATGGAAAATCACCATTTTTAATAGGTAAATCATCTATAAATGGCCATTTCCAATAGCTACGTTAGTCATTACCAGAGGGTAAGGGGTTAGACCGCCCTTTGGTCTGGGTAAATTGACCTAACGCCGCGATCTCACTGGAAGGATGGCGAGTAAAGGGCATTATTCCCAAATGGCCGGACTTTTTGGGTTTGTGAATTGTTATCGTTTACATTAGTTTCCCAATTTCATGAATTTATTACTATTACTAAGACTAAGCCTATATAATTGGATTTATGTAATATTACTGTGGGAATTCTCATATATTTTGCTATATTTTGGATCACTAAGAATTGCAGAATATGAATGGAATTATGACTTTCTATTCCTGGATTTGCTGAGACTAGTGACTAGTTTTTTTGGTTGTTCCACTACGGGAAAATCACGGCCGACTGGGGAATCTATACATCGGGAGTAGTTTGATTTTTCCCCACCTGCCAGGTGAGGGTTGTTAGATTTTATCTAAGTTGCCTGGTCCTCCTCCTCCTCCTCCTGCCGCCTCCTCCTCCTCCTCTCGTTGTCCTCCTCGTCCTCCTGCTCAACTGCGACTCGCGATCCACAGTGTTCGCTGTCGGACCTCAACCACGACCATCCACGCCCAGTGTTCCCTGCCGGACCTCAACCACGACCATCCACGCCCAGTGTTCCCTGCCGGACCTCAACCACGACCATCCACGCCCAGGGTTCCCTGCCGGACCTCAACCACGACCATCCCCGCCCAGTGTTCCCTGCCGGACCTCAACCACGACCATCCACGCCCAGTGTTCCCTGCCGGACCTCAACCACGACCATCCACGCCCAGTGTTCTCTGCCGGACCTCAACCGCGAGTATCCACGCCAAGTGTTCCCTGCCGGACCTCATGTAGGAAGATAAAATGTCAGATAGAGTGCCAGAAGATTTGCCAGGTAGAATGCCAGAAAATATGCCAGAAGATATGCCAGATAGATATGCCAGAAGATATTCCAGAAGATATGCCAGATAGAATGCCAGATAGAATGCCAGAAGATGTGTCAGAATATATGCCAGAAGATATGCCAGATAGAATGCCAGATAGAATGCCAGAAGATATGTCAGATAGAATGCCAGAAGATATGCCAGATAGAATGCCAGATAGAATGCCAGAAGATGTGTCAGAATATATGCCAGAAGATATGCCAGATAGAATGCCAGATAGAATGCCAGAAGATATGTCAGATAGAATGCCAGAAGATGTGCCAGTAAGAACATGTATAAATGTCATGGTGGGGATCACACGAAGTAAAGTAATTTTTTGTTGGATCTCTTAAAAGCAAAGGCAAGATGATTGGGAGCTGGGTCGCGTTAGCAGTTGCTCCACTTTAAATCCATATAATGGTTCGGACGCTGAAGGAATTATGGGTAGAGATTGATAGGTTCTGAGTTCCTGTCGCATGGGAAAATTCCCCTTCGTTTTCGTCTCAAAACAGAGGGCATGGCCCGATGTCAACAAGAAGTCCGTTGGCGTTCAGGAATGCAATGTCGTTCAAGGCGTTTCAAAGCTACACAGCTATATAGTTTCCCAACCACATTCTCGTATGAGATACAATCAGCAACTACTGGGGATTACAGTATTGTCAACCCTGGATTAATAAACTCCTAGGTTGTTTCATTGCGCAAATACCATTTAAGTATCAGATGAAATGACTATTTGGGGAGTACCCTCCTAATTAATAAACCATGGTTTATTTTCATCCGGGGTTGACATTATTGTTGATACAATCCGGATACAGTTGGATAAATGATAACAACCTCACCGTGAGACCTCGCCACGTGGAAATGGTGTGAAATCAACACAGCTGGACTTAAGTTTCCAGCTTTTTCACATGCGGATGTTTGTATCAACTCAACAGAAAACAATGGATAGAACATGAACCATGTCAATCTGGTTGGTGCTGACTGGAACATGAATGGATTATTTTCCCCAACCAGATTGGGGATGATTTGATCCAATCTGACGATTTGTCCATCATTTTTCAGGGGGGTAGGGCTCAACCACCAAGGTATCAAACATGGGGATTTTTCACCCAAGAAAAGAAATGAAAATTTCCATGGCTTGGAAGATGGGATGGTTCCCAATCGGGAAACGACCAAAAAGGGCTAGGGATTTTATTGTTCATTGATGTTCATTGGATATTCACAGCTTACAATGGTGTTAGTAGCCAGGGTCATTGAAATATATTGAAATGCAAGACTACGTCGATAGAGCTTCACGAGAAGAATCCCTGCTGACGAGGACTTGTTGAGGGTTCCAATGGGTTGAAACCACCAGCAATTTAGATGTGTCCTGTTCTTTGGGCTTGGATGGTTTAAGCACTGATGGTTTAAGCGCTGGTTTTACCGGGGCTTACACGTTTTCTTCCTATGCCCTACTAAGTAGCTATCTAAGTCTAAATCCCAGTAAATCCCATAAGATCCCATTAAAATACAATTAAATCCAATGGAAATCACCATCAAATCAGAATTAACTCCCATTAAATCACAATTTGTTTGCTGATAGCATGAAGAACTTAGCAAGCAGCGACCCCCACCCTGGATCCCAAAACGAGGAACAGCACCCGCTGCAACGCCCATGGCATTTGTCGCAGCTGCATGGGCCGTTACGACGCTTGTCGACATGGTGATGTTAAGGGGTTTCTTGGGGCAGGGCAGGGGTTCTTAGTGGCTAAATATGGGCTATAACATATAACAAGCTATAGCTATGGTACTAAAACCGACCATAAGTTGTGATATTCCATCAGATTACTATGCTGGTTGGTGGTTTGGAACATTTTTTATTTTCCACAATATCCCATTGACTAATATTTTCCAAGATGTTTAAAACCACAACCCAGCTATGGTTGTAGAACCACTTGGTTCATGATGCTGGGTCATTATCTTGCGACGACCTCATGAGTTTGATGGGAGGTTGTAAGGGGTAACTTATTTAAGTATCCCAAAATGGCAGTAGGTGTATATAATTAAGTTTGGGATACTTAGGTAATTTATCTTAGATAATATATTTATCTTGATAATAATGGCATTGGGATACTTAACTTATGTAATTATCTTATATGTAAGTTACTGGGTAAATTACATAAGTACAAATTTCTTTTACCCAATAATCAGGGTTGCTCCAAACACCGCAGGTACGTTTGGGGGTTAAATTGGGTAAATATAGAGGCAACATGACAACAAACGATCCCCTGGTGGCTATCATTTGTCTGTAATTGCATTGGAGCAACCCTGCTACCCTCTGGTAATGACTAACATAGCTATTGAAAATTGCCATTTATAGTGAGTTTTCCCATGAAAAACGCATGGTGATTTTCCATAGTTATGTAACAGTTTACCAGAGGGTAATGATGTGGGTTCCACTACCCTGTTTTCATCCGGCTACACGACAAAAATCACGTCGCGACGGTTCAGTCGCGCTTGTTATTGGGGGATAGTCCCCTGGCGGAGGCGTGACTCGCTTAGTGAATGATATATTTTATAGTTAATGATTATGATCATTCTGGCTATAATCCTGAATTTGAACCTGAATGCATAGTGAATTATATTTATATAATTATAATATAGATAGACAATGATAGATATATATGTTCAGATTAGTGTTTGCACCCGTTTACGACAGCGAAGTTGGTTTATAAGCCTACTATGGGAGTGAATGTGCATGGCCCATCTTATAGGGTCCTGCTGGTGTATCCAACAAATGCATCTTGGGGACTTTACAAGAAGATTAAGAAAAAATCAGCCTACTCCCAATTTTTTGGCATACTTTAGCATCTTTAGCAATCTTGCTTGTTGCTTTGCAGGCAGGTTGATATTTATTATCCACCATCTGGGGAGTAATGGAAGGTGGGAAACAAGAATAGACTACTTTTTTACAGGGTGGTAAGTTTTAGGTGGAAGAGAGGTTTCACCATTGTTGACCCTAGTCCTATATATATTTGGCGTGTTCTACTCATATTTGGAGTACTTACACAACATTGTTTATGGCTAAATTGATGGTCTATTTTTTCCCTTGACCAGCCACTACTGCTTGAGATACTCTACCTACAGAGGGTTTAGAACACTGCTGAAGTGAGTAGTAGTTGGACTAGTTTCAGTCAAAAAACATGTTCGAAACACAAGCCGAATCGATTTTCTATCGGGTGGTTCTTGGCTGCGATAGCATCTGATATCTGAACTGGGAGTATCCTGGGGGGCGCTGTTAGTCAGTGGACCAGTGGATAATTATTTGTCCAAGTCATATATGGAATGTCCCCAATTCGCAGATACATACTTTGCACAGTTCTATGTGTATATATATATATATTACATACATATATATATATATTACTGTATGTAACTCCAAAGATCATTTGTTATACAGAGAATAAATATCCTACCATTTGACATGCATATTCAAGTACTCTGTGAAAACCAGGGCACCAGGGTTTTGACTTCTCATTCTCACAACAGACTTGAGACATCTTGAGACGATTTCCTGCACGGTGACCTGAACCTGAACAGTGTCTGTTTACGAAAGGTCTATAGTAAGGGTATAGCTAGGAAAGCTGAAAGACAATGTGGCCAAACATGCGGTCCGTTGAAGGTTTTTATTTGGGCTAGCTGATTTTAGGGTCTCCTTTACCCGAAGACACAACGAGTTCATTCTGAGAAGAATTGCTACGCCTCCTGACCAGCATCACCACCATGGCTTCAGCACAAATTGCCAACATCCTGCGCAGTGTAAGGAGACGAAGAGCTCGCATGAATTGGCGTGAAACTTCAGCGGTTTAGCCAGCCAGTTTCTTGGGCTTATGCGTGTTCCCACAATCTATGTAAAGCAGGATAAAGCGGGTTATTTTTTATCTTAGCTCGGGCGATGCGTGCACCGGGGTGCAGCCATCACTTTTCCTGGGCTCGGGCATGCCAGCAAGGTCGAGATCCAGATCCTGGAAGAGGGTCGCTGGGACGACGGGGCGGATTGGTGCGCTTGTGTGGTGAACGTGTGGTGCTGTAGTGCGTTTTCAAAAGTGATTACATTGTCATGTGCTGTTATTCTTGTGCTGTGCAACAACGAGTGTGTAACGGGCATTGTGTTGACAACCGAGAATACCCTGCGATTGTACGAGGGTATATCGAAATGCGTGAATACGGGGGTTCCCCCGCAGGGCATATTGCTAGGAGGTGACGTTGTGGGTTCATGAGAGGGTTAGGCAATGTCCTGCGGGACCTTTTAAAGTATTTGTTACTGGGCGACCGGTTCATCCGAGGGATCTACACCAGTGTTCCTATCCACAAACCGCTAATTCTCGCAATGCCGAAGCCGCCAAGTATGTTGGTTAATTTTTCCACATCGAACAAATCACATTTTTGACAATATCCCTCCTATGTTTGATGGTAAAACCTTGCACCTCTCATGATGTTTCATGCATTTCTTCTGGTGTTTGTTCGGTTAAGAAGTCACTTATTACGAAGTGGCGCCCCATATATAATCGCAAGTAACTAAATTTACAATTCCCATAACTAATGTTTACTGTAATTAGTTCATAGTCATAGTGTTTCTAAATTTTTGATTTCCCCCAGCATTGTCTCTTTCACAATCCCATTCATTGCTCTTGTCCCATTATTTCTTAAGATGTCAGAGTCAAATATCGATGATATGATCTTCCATTTATAGAAATGCCAACATGTCAACTAACTAGTTGATAGTTGAGCTAATATGGAGGTTTCCTGAAATAGGGATACCCCTAAATCATCAATTTCAAGATCATTTTCCATTATAAACCATACAGTTTTTGGGGTACACCATTTATGGAAACCCCCATATCCAACTACTTCATGGGAAAAAATGGTGTTAGTCCGGGGGGCGCCACTCTACACCTTCAACGCGCCTCGCGTTTGATCCCGCAGGTCACTTTAACCCCCGATGCCCCGGGGAGCGCTGCAGCTATCGCCTGGTTCCCTTGGATGTTCAGAGGAGCACAACTGGACGTTGTACGGCTTTCATCCTGGTTTCGGGTCATGGAAAATGGTATCTCACAGGACATTGGTCGTTTAACAATCGCAAAATGGTCGTCAACCATCGGAAAATTCGTGGACATTTATTGGAATTAAAGGGTTTTCAAGAAAAAAATAACCAACGATATACCCTCTGGTAAACTAACATAGCTATGGAAAATAACCCATTTATAGTTGATTTACCCAGCTATAAAATTGTGATTTTCTATAGTTTGAGTCAACCTGTGAGAATCCACTGGATTTGGGTGTGACCAATGAAACCATAACAAGTGGATCATGGCCCGAGGCCCGATATCCCAGCTTTATCCCAGCTTATGGAGGGCACAACATGGTAAAACCCCATAGCTATACCCATTCATAAGCCTTGGCCTTGTCTAAACAACTGAGCACAGTGAAACATCTAGAGCTGGGCATGGGTTCAAATTTTCAAACTCCAGAAAATCAATTGTTGGATAATATTGATAAAACTATTGATGGGTCCGCTGTTGCCCTAAGTTTGCTATGAGTCAAGTATCATTTTGAAATTTGCATGCAGTAGGTGTTTATCTATTTAATATCCGTGGTAGATATTGGATAGAATTTGCGGACAATTACGATTCAACTTCTGATATCGCTTTAGAGAACGAACAATCAAATCATACAAATGTATACAAACGTCAACATGAATCTAAACCTTATATATCCTCAACACTTTTCAATAACGGGTTGGTGGTTTGGAACATTTTTTATTTTTCCATAGTGGGAATAATGATCCCAACTGACTAATATTTTTCAGAGGGGTTGAAACCACCAACCAGATAAATATTTTAACATGTCACTATATAATTATATTTCAATTACTCTCCGGTAAATGAACATTTCGATTTGGAAGATGAGTTTCTACTAAAAATTGTTATTTTGTGTTCTTTTCAGGGTCGAACTGTTACTTTGCCAGAGGGTAATACTCATTATTAACAATTATGAACCATCATCAGCCATGCTTAACAATCATTATCAACCACATTATCATCATGGATTTATATGGGATACCCTCTGGTAATTTAACATAACTATGGAAAATCACAATTTTTAATTGGTAAATCCACTATAAATGGCCATTTGAAATAGCTATGTTAGTTTACCAGAGGGTATCTATAGTGACTTTCTGAATCCATATGTCACCCCCGTTTTCCTTCTTCGATCTCCACGGCTTTCCCCTGGTAACGCAGGGCCCTGGAACGCTCGGCGCGCGGCGAAGAAACCTGGCAGAAGTTCGAGCAGCTGCGAAGCGAGTGCCGCTGGACTGCGGAGTTCTGGGGCCGTTGGGGCCGTGGGATCTATAGGGGGTTTCCTAAAACAATGGTACCCCAACTAGGTCAATGTTTGTTGGTTTGTAAACCCCAGCAACTATAGTTATTTGCGTACCATAAACCATATTGGAATACAATTCTAGGTCAATCTTAGATGGATACAAACTATTGTATTGTTTTTACCATGGCAAATCTCACTGTTTCGTTGTGGTGAACATACAGGGATGGGGACCCCGAGATGGCGTTCAGTTGAGATATAGGTGGCTAAAAATTATATGGTAGATATAACTATATCAACGGGCCCAAATCATTAGTATACTAATGCGTTTCCTAATTTAATGGGTGTCCTAATTTTGGATAATTTTGGATACTTTTTATGAAACCCATGTTCGGCATTGACAATTTTGTATAAGGTCAACCCTGGAATAATAAACCCCAAACGGCTGTTTAATTGGGAAGGTACCTGGAGGTTTCTATAAATGGGGGATTCCTGGAAAATCCCAAGCAAAAATGGATGATTTAGGGGGTTACGACACCTCCATGTATATATATATAATATAGTTGTATTTAAGACAATGGGATTATCAGTCAACAATGGGATTACTCATATTTAGGATTACTTAACGATGAAACATATTTGGATGTCTACTAATTGCGACAATGAGCAAACAAACGGCTCTCCGGAACGCAAATTATTATCCTTGTTTTCCTAATTAGCCTTCGGTTTGCTAAGGATATGTTTTTTTTAAAGAATTATTTACATATGTGATAGAACATGGAGAATGAATCAACTATCATTCATCATGATTGATTGGGACCAAATAGTATTATACCTGGGAGTACATTCATTTCTCCCGACAATGGTCAGAATCTCGACTCGCTAATACAATTTTTCAGCGTAGCTAAGCTTCATTGGAGGCTGTTGGAGGTCTCAATCCAGTTTTCTGTGTAAATTAATGGAATCCATTGAAAGATGGGATAAGTCACTTGATCAATGGGATAAACAAACATATATAAATCTCATATATATATATCTATATCAGGGTAAATTTCATCACGACCGAAGCCTGTTCTCCCAAACCCTGGAATCATGGTTTATGTTCGGGAAATCATCCCCGAAATTATGGCCTTGCTTGCGGGGAGGGGGCCGGCCAAAGGGAAGATCGGTGGCCTTATTTCAGGTTAATGAATTATTATAATTTACCCAGAGTTTTGTATAATTTTGATGAACAACATCACTTGTTGGAGGAGGATTGAGGTGCAATTAATCCTGTATGTTTTTCCATTACGATCCACCAATTCCATCTTGTTTTCAATCCTCCAACCCGACCGGATGGTGCCCTCCAGTTATGTTTGCTGGTTTTTTTAACCCCATGAATACTAGTTCGTTATATCTACCGTAAACCATAGATTTTTGAGCCACACCCAGTCTAGGCAGCCACTTTTCGGCAACTGAACGCTATCCAACGGGGGCCCCATCCTGGGGTCCAAACACCTCAGACTCCGTCGCATATCCATATTGAGTGTATAACCACTCCATAACCCCTTAAGTGGGGATATGGGGATAATTCATATAATTCACATAATTCATATAATTCATAACCCATATAACCCATATAACCCATATAACCCATATAACCCATATAACCCATATAACCCATATAACCCATATAACCCACACATAACTGGTGGTTGTTCACCCATTTTCGGCCACGTCTTCGCCGCCGCATTTTCCGGTCGACAAAAACGTCCGTCTACCTAGGCCATGCGGGGCGCTTGAAGGAGCTGCTGTCGGAGCAAGGTGACGGGACGTTTTTAGGTGGATCTTAAGTGGAAAGCTGTAGGAAAATCTATGGAAATTTATGGGGAAATATGAGAAATCTATGGAAAATCTATGGGAAACTGGAAAACCGAGGAAATCTATGGAAAATCTATGAAAATATATGGTGATGTTTCAGAAATGTGTGATTTTTCCTCGGGATACTTTAAGGGGGATCTCTTGGGAATATCATTCATGTTGCCCCAAAACGGGTGACTTAAGAGAATGGAATATTTTCATGGTGAACTGGTGAACCCTGAAAAGAAAAGGTGCCTTAACCAGGAACCATGGCGGGATTTCATGGGGATACATTGGGGATGTATCTAAGGACAAAACATTAATATGTGTAATTATTTAGTACTAATCAAGAACATCTGGGGTCAACCCTACCTCAATTTGGGATGATTATCGTAATTGTTCTTAACATATTTTTAAGAGTTGGATTGCACCAATACCAGCATTGGTTCATAGAAGATTTACAGGAACCTGCTAACAATTTGATGGACAAAACCACGGTTTTTTGTAACATGTCCCTATACCCCTTAAGGTAAACTCAACGTCCACGTAGCTACGGCGCCATGTCCCATTCAGCTCGATGATTTACCGGGAAACTGGAGGATTTTACTGGAGGAAATAAAGCTGAAGAAATCCACATGAACCAAACAGTGATTTGGCTATGGATCAATAACTATGAAAATACCATTTTTAGTTTGTGATGAACATCCATAAATCCCAGCTATTTTGATGTGAGCAAAAAAGGGGTACTATTGGTTTTGACACACTGCCATTTATAACTTCATCAATCTTCCACCATTTTTGTGGTACTTGAATCAACAAAATGAAGCAACACAATTTCCCCAAAAACGATAGAACAGGTTCATTTGATTACTATTTTGGTAGGACCTAACTTTTCTATCTCTTCAGGGCTTACTATAAAACAATCCAATCTAATTAAACTTGTATATGTTGGATATGTAGGGAATCATGATCCAATTTGTTCCCCATTTTTTTCTTACTTGTGCTTATTCGGGAATGGGTGACAGACTATGAACAATCATCCCATTCCCCCATTCCCTACTTGAATGTGCATCCCACAAATTGCATCCGTGGTTTATGATCCATATACTGGTTGGTGGTTTGGAACACGTTTTATTTTTCCATATATTGGGAATAATAACCCCAACTGACTAATATTTTTCAGAGGGGTTGAAACCACCAACCAGTATAACATTTCATAGATCAATGGGGATATTCCATACAATTCCATATCTGGGGATTGTTGGGGATATGCATGGATACTCCATATATGTATATATAACTGGTCAATGGCCATTTCAGGAACCTAAAGTGGAGCCACCTACCTATAAAGCCTATTTTTTAGGGCTATGTAAGGGAATATACCCACAAAATATTGCCTTATATGGTACTGTACCATTTTAGGATCCTGGAATTCCCATTGAAACTGTGATGACCCTCTGGTAAACTAGCATAGTGAACTGGAAAATCATCACTTTTAAGTTCGGTAAATCAACGAACTAACTGGGCCATTGTCCAGTTCGCAAACTGTTAGTTTACCAGAGGGTATCACCATCATTAAAGCATCATTAATCACCATTGATCACCATTATCACCATTATCATTACACCATTATCCCACCATTGAAGTGAGTTAATGTCAACTCCGGATTAATAAACCATGGTTTATGAAAATTAGGGGGGTACACCTCCAATAGTCATTTCATCTAATACTTAAATGGTACCCTTCCAATTAAACAACCTACAAGGTGGTGCCCCCCCAGTTATAAGTTGGTTTATAAACCCCATTAACTAGTTCGATATATCTACCAAAAACCATAGTTATTAGAGTTATGTTCACCAACTTAGCTAACGAACTGGTACCACCTTGTAGTGATTTTCATTGGGTTATAAACAATGATTTCTGGGAGTTTGAGTAACCAAACAATATGATACAATATGGGGATACTTGGGGATACACGTGGATATGACTGATCCTGAAATGGCCATTGAACCTAGGGGTTTACTAATCCAGGGTTGACATTATTTCACCCATGTTTCATGGAGGCCCGGCGCCCGCCACAGCCTGGCTGCTGTCAGAGTGTCAGCCCTGCCCACGCTGCTTGACGCTGGTGCGGCGGGAGGACGGCGAAGGGCTGGAACGGCCGGGATTACGGCCTGGAAAATCACCATCTTTCATAAGTACCCTCTGGTAATTTAACATAGCCATGGAAAATGGCCCATAGAAATAGATGGTTTACCTATTAAAAATGGTGATTTTCCATGGCTATGTTAAATAACCAGATGGTAAATCATCTCTATACATCTCTATAACTAGGTCAATCTTAGATGGATACAAACTAATCCTGAATAGTCTTTTGGTATGGAATATCTACGTTCAGCAGCAAAGAATTTGTCATTTTTTGCAGGGTATCTGGCTGATTGGCAATCTATAAATGAAGCATTTTCAATAGCTATGTGAAATTACCAGACGGTATCTCTCAGTCGGTGTTAAAAACCCTCGCGATCGTTTCCCTAGGAAAACGATCAAAAAAAATGGTGTGTTTTCCACATCTATGGTTGGTTTAGCAGAGGGTAACTATCCAACGAGGCTAAGGTGGTGCCCCCCCAGTTATAAGTTGGTTTATAAACCCCATCAACTATAGATTTATCTACCATAAACCATAGTTATTGGAGTTATGTTCACCAACTTAGCTAACTATGGGGTACCACCTTGTACCTATTACATATTTTACTGGAACATATTCGATTTATCTCTTACATCTTGGTGTTGTTGGGTCGAGAATTTGCCATCATACATTTAGGCAAAAATCAACAAAATGGATTTATGACATGTTTGATATTTGGGTGATCTCTTTTCCCACTACTTGGTGCATGGTGAATCTACAAATACATGTGTTTCACCGTATTTTGGGACCCCAGGCACCCCAAAATCTGCAAAACCAAGATTTGAGGAACTATATACCACCAACACTCCTTGCCATCCCAGCTCTTTCATGATTTGGGCGAGCAAAAAATGGGGCCAGGCCACAATTTGTGGGGATTTTGTCCCTACTAAATCGAGAAAGCCAGTGACCCTCAAAGGTCCCACTGTCAACCTTTGTTTGCTGTTGGGGTCAAACCAGAACCATCGGAGCTCTTTTTGACCTGGATGATGACTTGGAATATCATTTGGTTATGACATTCACAGTTCGCCATGGTTTGTCGATGGCCCTAATCGAAATAGATGGTTTACCGAACTTAAAAATGGGGATTTTCCATGGCGAACTGTTAAATAAACCACCATTTATAGATGGTTTACCGAACTTAAAAATGGGTGGATCTTTCCATGGCGAACTGTGAATGTCATAACCAGATGGTAACAGCAGTTTTTTTGATGGGAATCACCAGGAAGGATGTTTGCACGTCTTCTGCCGCTGTGGCTGTGATTTTTGCTTCGGTGTCTTGGCCAGTCTTGGCTACGCGGCTCACAGATGGTGAAAACCAAGAGGAGATGGAGTTGAACAAGGGTAGACCGGCTGGTGACAGGTAGTTACACAATTCAATATGCTGCCAGTTTCATGGGAATATTATGGAATATTCAATCGGATATTTATGAATAATGTAAGCATATGTCCCAAGTTTTCCCCGAAATATATCCTGGGTATTGGGAGCAACCCTGGTTAGGGTGAAGTAGAATGAAGTTTACGACGATATTTGGTTAGCCAAAACCTCATGATTTTCAAGGCAATTCAAAACAAGCTCACAATGAGGTCATCATACATAATGATTAGCGGGGGAGACTATCATAGACTATCCCAAAGTGGGTTCGTTCTTTCTTTCTTACTTACTTTCTTTCTTTCTTTCTTTCTTTCTCGGGAATCATAGTACTTAATTTGCCCGGATGCTTTGCTGGTTTACTTTTGTTTATCTTACTTCCCTTGTCCCTTATGTGGTCCGCAGTTTCATTTTGTTTGCATCTTTGCTGCTAATTGTGAGAACTCATAGCACCCTGTAGATGAGAATATCGATTGGATATGGAACCATGAACCCCAAAAATCAGAAAAGTCAAGGACACCTGGAAATGCGGTGCGGAAGTCATCACTTTTGTCACATCGTCAACACAAATACTTTGTATTTTTGCGGGAGCTACTGTAAACTGTTGATCAACATGTGGAAACTTCATGAAACTTCGGCATCATGGGAAGTGAAGTATCAAAAATGGTAGCCAAATTGGTAAAAATTGGTCAATTGAGTCAATGGCACAAGGTGGTGCCCCAGTGTTCGCAAAAACGCGACTTGGTGAACATCACGTAAGTTTGCCTCTGGTTTATGGTATATCGACCTACTGAAAGGGATTTAATAGATATGGCAATTCACCATTTCAGAATAGATGATGTCTGGGAAACAAGCATGGATTTCCATAGCATCTTCGACTTCCCAGCCTGTTTGGGTCCGGTGAAGGCCTTTAAATCCCATCACATCCCAGGCTGTGGCGGCCCAGATCCGGAAGGCGATGGTGCCAGTTGGTGCCGCTTTGCATAGGAAAAAAAAGTGACTGACCCAAGAAAGCATGGGGATTTTATATGATTTAGTATGATTTGATTTGATTTACAGTGATTTTTACCTCATCTGATTTTTTTTTAATGGGCTTTAATCTGGTTTCATATGATTCTTAATGGGCTCGGTTGCTGATTGATAGCTAAGCTGGGGGCCACAAAACTCCACAAACTATGGTTGATTAGGGTGAGATAATGAACTAGTGAATGGGTTTACAAAGCAACAAACATCACTGGGGGGGCACCACCCTGCAGTTATGGCCATGAAATAGTGCTCGAAGCTCTTGCTGTAAACGGGTCTGACAATAGGGGATACCCACGAATCGCCGTATCGAAAAATCGGGACAATGATGATAATCCATTGGAATGGGAAGTTTTCCCCAAATTTTGAGACACCAACAATTTTTTTTCGGGACATGAACATATAAGATTTCCAACAGATTTATAGGACCTAAACATCTTAGGTACCCATGATAACCAGCAAACATCTTTCATTTTTTGCAGGCCATCTAAGATTTCCTGCAGGATTATCCGTAGTACTGATTGCGGATCATCTTCACATATCTGGACACAGATTGCAAACTCGATGATTGGTACATCAGGTAGGATCCTCCAAGTAGCATTCCCCTCCAGTGATGATTGTTTGGTTTATAATCCCATCTAGCTTTAGATATAATATATATATATAATATGTATATATATATATATAAATTATATATATATATAAATTATATATATATATATTATAATACATATCATATCCCCCACTCCAAGCGAGTTAGCCTTAGTTATCTCCTCATTTTCCATGATTATTGATAGTTAATTCCCCATGTCACAATGTGTCTTAGTTGAATTTCCATGCATGGGAATTGTTTGCTCATCAACAACAATGTGGATTCCACTAACAACTGATTCAAACTTATTTTCACTTATTCAGTGCAAACCTTCAGATAGTTGATAAGTTATGCATCATTATTGATCATTTACATTAATGATATTGATGGTCAATCCATGTTAATGCATGTTTTTGATTGTTAGATCAACGTTTAATTCTTAATTGTTATTATTAATTGTTATTAGTTATCATTGATTATTACTGTACTATTATTATTATTATTGCTGATAGTTATTATTCTGATATTAATATTATTATTATACTAATTGATTATTACTGTACTATTATTACTGATATTAATATTATTACTGATAGTGGATTCCAATGGTTATTCAAGGAAATTCTCTGCGCATTCACCAGTGCCTGATACTGCCTCTCCACTCATTTTCCACCAATCTAAGCTCTGACCTGCGGCCCCAAGTAGGTTCTGATATGTTATGACATCTTATTCCAAAGGATATCCAATGAAATTCCATGAAATCACCATTCTGCTCTAACCTCGAAAGGGTATCTGGTAATTCAACATAGCTATGGAAAATGAGCGATGATTTCTTTACTTGAATGGTAGTTTACTCCAAAGCATTGTATTCTCCATTAATCACCATTCACCATCATTAATCACCATAAATTCACTACCATCAACCGTCACTAATGAATCATTATAAACCATTGATCATCAATCACCATTTACCACCGTTAATTGATTATCATTACCCATTAATCGCCATTAATTAATCACCATTAACCAACCATTAACCAACCACTAACCAACCATTCACCAACCATTAACCGACCATTAACCGGCGATTAACCCACCATTAACCGACCATTAACCAACCATTAACCAACCATTAACCAACCATTAATCAACCATTAACCAACCATTAATCAACCATTAATCAACCATCAACCAACTATTAAACCATGGAAAATTGCCCATGTTTCTCCAGGCTGCATCTGTCCCTACATGGAGAAGACTCGCGAGGTGGTCTTCGCCGCCTGGCTCCGTACCTCTCCCGAGAGCCCTGTGGAGCCTTGGGCAGCGGGGCGGACTGCTGGGAAGATGTGGATTTTTTTTGCACCAAAAGGGTGGTTGAAACCCTATAAAAAATGGGATAAGAACCTTAAGGTTTTTTTATTGTGAGTATGATCCCAGATGACTTGGAATACCTCTGGTTATGACTAACACATAGCGAACTGGAACATCCATTATGGAGGTTTCTAGCTGGGAAAATCATTTGTAAATGGGCCATTTTCCATAGCTATGTTAAATAACCAGAGGGAATATGTGATTTTTGTTGGATTCGATTCAGGAAAAATGGAAAAATTGTGATTGTCCAAAAAAAAGGGGTTGATTTATCCAAGATTCACGTTGTGCTGAAGGGAGGTTTGATAACCAAAACGGAGGATTTCACCAGCAAAACATTGCTGTAAGACCAAAAACAATTTGGACTTTATTCTGGTTGGTGGTTTGGAACATTTTTATTTTCCCATGTACTGGGAATAATAATCCCAACTGACTAGTATTTTCAGAGGGGTAGTTATACCACCAATCAGTATTGTTCTGGCAGGGCTAACGATTGGATTTATGGTGGATATATTGTTTCGTATCCCAGATGGGGTTATGAAGCGACACTATCCCAAAACGATGTTTTTTCATATAAAAGCGATCATAATTTAGCCTATCTGGAATCTCAGATAGAACTTAAACAAATTGTTTTGTAATGTTTATTGGTTGTATATTGTTATATCTCTATTTAAGTGTTGCTTCGGACCCATTCCTGTTCCCCTAAAGTAATCAAATAGTGTAGTTCAGTCCGTAGTTTCATGGCTTGCATTTGGGTAAAGTTTGGTTGGGTATGTTCATAGGATTTTCTTTTGCCAAAATACATAGCCAAACTGGATCGTGGTTTGGAACATTTTTTTTCCATATATTGGGAATAATCATCCCAAGTGACTAATATTTTTCAGAGGGGTAGTTATACCACCAACCAGCAAAAAATATACAGCCCACTTTCTATAAAGATACGTTGCCCAGCAGGGCACCAACCAGTGGCCTGGCGGATGACGAGCTCCTGACGGTGGATGGGCCAGCGAAATCCTGCACCAGTTTTCACCATCCAAGGCGGTGCAGGATTTCGCTGGCCCATCCACAGTATGAACTGATGGAATTTACCACCAGATGAGGCCAGTGCGTGCCACAGTTGACAGTTGCTGACAGTTGATTCAATTTGCACTCGTTCATTTATCATCATTTATCCACGGTCTTAGACTTTTAATTCACCTGAATTTTGGATGGTTTTGTTGTGTCTCCAATGTTATGTCCAATTTTTGAGACATGCTGAAGTGATAAAACCCCCGAGGCCCAAAAACGGGTGAATCATAACCACAGTTCGTCTCCCCCGAAACGTTTCTACGGTGCGTCTACAGTTTTTCAGACAAAAAAATAGTGATCAACATCTGGTTGGTGGTTTGGGAATGTTAATCCCAACTGACGAACTCCATCATTTTTCAGAGGGGTAGGGCTCAACCATAGTTTATATTTAAATCTCTTAGCCGCTAAAGCATGCCTTAGCTATAATTTGATATCAGTTAGATACAAGATTATTGTGCATATATATATATATATATATTAGACTGTATATGTACATATATAAATTCATGATATAGGTCCCCAAAATTGATCTCCGGGAGTTCCTATTCCCAACATCAACGGTTACCGCGTTGAGATGTCAGGAGTGGCTTTGGGAATCCAGGGCTCGGGTGGAGGAGGAGAAGTGCGGGGGTGGGGAAGGCTGGGAGATGCGAAAATGATGGGAAAATGATGGGACATGTTTTGGGGAAATCCAGGAACTAGAGATTTCAATAGGAACATAGAACCTAACCGGCTCCAAGTACAATCATGTGGAGCTGGAGCCAAGTTGGAGAGTTCTATCCCATACAAAACCTGGTTGGTGATGACTGGAACCATGGAATTTTATGACTTTCCATATTAATTGGGAATAGTAACCCAACTGACTAATACTTTTCAGAGGGGTAGGCTCAACCACCAACCAGAAAACCATATTCCACCTCAAAATTCCTCAGCTGGAGACTTTTTTCTGGCGTTTTTGACCACCTGGACCAGGAGCGTTTTCTGAGTTCCCTCCACTTCTTCTTGTGGATGGCCGGAGCCGAGGTTGAGGCCCCCTGGAGCGAGCAGCTTGAGCTGATTTTAGATGATCCCAAACCGGAAACGATGTGTTTTTCGCCAGCGAAGATCTGGTAAAATGTTCCATAACTTGGGAAATTGCGAAATTGAATCGTTTAATATATTTGGGAAAAGGGTCAGTAATACTGTAGGAAGGGATTAGCCATTCAACATGTTTTTTGGGGGTAGATGGGATCGGTTTTCTTGTGGCTCATGTGACTATTATAGATGATCCAACAGTTCAGAGTGGATGTGGGCGTCACATTTTCGAGGTTAGATGGAAAACAGGGGAAACATAGCCACTAAGCCGAGAAAACACTGCCAATATGAGAAGATAATCATTCTGGAGGCATGGACCCGGACATGTCATAGATAGAATTTGTTTCAGAAACCCTGGGTTGTTGGCCTTGTAAAGAAGAAACACCATCTCAAGACTTGAGATTGGGAGAGATGTCTATTGTATATGTATATATGTATATATACATGCTTGTATATGCACTCAATGTATAAATCTCTGGTTGGTGGTTTCAAACATGTTTTATTTTTCCATACATTGGGAATCATACTCCCATTTGACGAACTCCATCATTTTTCAGAGGGTAGGCTCAACCACCAACCAGATATGCACTGAAATCGAAGTTTATGTCTCCGCGGGTGCAGCATAGCAACGAAACGACCGTGAAACCTTTTCTGGTGAATCATCCCATAGGGAAGTCCTTCAGCTGACTTCAGCGTATTGCAAATTCTACTCATAGTGTACCCAGATTCTGACCAGCCCTGAAACACTAAGACTAAGATTGGATAAGATTATCCATGGTCGTTGATAGATAAAAAGACCCAATTCTGACCGTATCCATGGTTGTTCGTGATTAAGATTGGCAACGCCTACGGTCAAAATTGGTTTTTGAAGATGATCTTCTGGAAAGGTTTTTGCAGCCATTTTTGTTGGTTTCCATGATGTTCGGTGACAAAAAAAGGGCTGCAACGCAGGTAGAGCCTGATGTTTTTGTTTCTTACCCCAAGCTCACTATCTGGAAGACAGGATGGAGGCTGCCTGGACAAGTAGGTTTTACTGGGTTCTACCGTTCTACCTGTTGAGCTGCTCAGGTCAGAGGTCCAGCTGTTTTTTAAGTGAAACGGCCAGAAATGGTGAAACTTTTGGAGGCCACATGGAGGCCACCGAGATTCACAGAGAAGAGAAGCCAAACCGTTTGCACCCAAACGAAGCACCAAGAACCAGCAAAAAAACTGCTTGGTGCTTTGGAACATGAATGGATTATTTTCACCAATAGTTGGGATGATGATCCAATCTGACGAACCCCATCATTTTTCAGAGGGGTAGGGCTCAACCACCAATTAGAAAAGATCCAAGAAGGCGAAAAGAGCCATGTGCTATCGCGGTCATCATCATCATCATCATCCTCATCCATTTTTGGCCATTAATAACCAATAATAAACATTAACAACCAATAGTAAACATTAACAACCATTAATAAACATTAACCATCATTGACATTAACATGAATAGCCATTAAAATAACCATAATAACAACAGTAACATTACCATTAATAAACATTAATAGCTGGTTGGTGGTTTGGAACATTTTTTATTGTTCGATATATTGGGAATAATCATCCCAACTGACATAACAATTAATTAACATTACCACTAACAACATCACAACATTACCATTTATAAATGTTGATAACCATTAATAACCACATATTAGTTGAGCCCCTGGTATTAACCCCAGGTTATAACTGGCTTTATTTAGGCGTCCGCCGAGGTCACCCGGAGACACGACCGACACCACGACCTCGGAGCTGCAAGGAGCAGAAAAACGACACGGCCACGGTGGTTCCTGTGATGTTTTTTAGGGTGATAGATTGATACACGTATTTAGATATATATGATTTATATGATTTATAGTGTTTATATGGTTTATATTAATAGTGGTTTTTATGGTTTATATTGAAAAACTATTGTTTATATATGGTTTATATTGGTTATATATGTTTATATTGCTTATATCATTTATATTGTTTATGGAATATGTTGGAATGTTATGGAATATGTTGGAATATTGTGGAATATTTTGAAATATTGTGGAATACTATGGGAATGAGTGATTTTCATGGAATATGACAATGATATACGGCCATTATATAGAATATAAAAGTATCATTATCGTGGGTGAATTAAACCGTAAAATACGTTGATTCTTGATGGAATATTCACACGGATACAGAATGTAGTACAGAAACGGTTGGCCCGGAAGTCATTCAAGCGTTGTGTTGGAGCGACACCTTTATTGTTCATTTACAGTGTTTTGTAACATATCCTAGTTCCAAGGGTATTTCATGGCTCATCCCACGAATCCTAAGTGGGTTATATCCCTGGTTATAAGATGTTATAAGTGGGATAAGTAGGAGGGTTTATCCACTTACAACTAGGGTGAAGTAACCTACTTAGGATTCGTGGGCTGAGCCACCAAGTAGTCCACTCATTGAATTTGTCATTTCGAGTCGGGATTCGTGACCTGGCAATCAGCTGTCCTTTGTCTCTGGCCACAAGGCAGTGGTGTCTCCAACTGGCGCTACGATCTCCCCTTGTCGGTGAATTTTCCTGATGGGTAAGCAGTTCCTGGTAACACATTCATCCAACTTTGCCATGTGGTGGTATCAATGATCACTGGTTGGTGGTTTGGAACCATGGAATTTTATTTTTCCATTCAGTTGGGAATGTCATCATCCCAACTGACGAACCCATATTTTTCAGAGGGGTAGGCACCAACCAGATTATATCCAATTTCACCCACCCTGTGGATGGTTTGTGGCATTGGGTTTACCTCACTGTTGGTGAAAAACCACGGTTTGTTTGAGACTGGGCGGAGGGCAGGCCTGATCGCGAGGTGCGTGAGGTAGTATGAAATACCAGTTCGTATGTTTATATAAATGTAGTTACCGTAATTTTCCGCGTAGAAATTGCCAGTCTCATTTTTGGACACACCCATGTTTTGCATATAGTTGGTTAGTGATGTATCACATGAATTATCTCCATATTAAGTCCCTTAATAAAGTCTTTATTTTCTTGGTGAAATCACGACAAAATCAGCTTTTTTTAGATGTTTACCCCAACAAAAACCCACTTGAAATCATTGTTTTTATGATGAAATCAACGCGGTTCCTGTTGTTATTACCCATATGTACATATATATGATTTAATGGGATTAAAATGGGATTTAATGGGATATATGATATATATGATGGTTACCCTCTGGTAAACTAACATAACTATGGAAAGATCCACCATTTTTAATGGGCAAATCAACTATAAATGGTATTTTCAATAGCTATGTTAAATTACCAGAGGGTATATATATACATAGATCCCATGTTCCATTTTTAAAATCCTAAGAAATGCGTTTGTCTGAGTATGGGGTTCACTTTTACATGTTTGTATTGACCTAAAGCATTTTCAAGCAAACCCAAATGGCTATGAGTCAAAAACCCTTGCACCCTACCCTAAGTCATAGCTGGCTAATGGAGCTTTATTCCTCCAAACATGGTAATGACAGGTTTTGACCCATCTGCAAATGATAAACCTCATTTTTTCCCATGAAAAATCCCTGATTTTCCAGGACTCGATCCTATCCGATGGCTTCCACAAGGAGGATGTTCTCCTGCGACCTCACCCTTAGTGATTTTCACTTGGGGTTTGGGTTTGGAGGGTTTTCATTTTAGGGAATAGTGTGTTTTTTCCGTTTAGAGATTTTTGTGTTGGATTTCTGTTTCACAGCTTCTATGCTTTTCTGCTTTTCCCTGCTTACCTGCTCTCTTTTTTTCTGTGTTTTCCTGCTTTTCTGCTTTTCTTTTCTGCTTCCTTGCTTCTTTGCTTCTGCTTTTCCCTGCTTTTCTTGCCTAAACGCTCTTCTGCCTTTCCCTGCTTCTATGCTTACCTGCTTTTCCTTGCTTCTTCGCTTATGTCCTTTTCCATGAAAGCCATCTACCAGGTTTGTTAGGGGTTGGTTCAGGGTTTACTTAGGTTTGGTTTAAGATCTATCTAGGGTCGGTTTAGGATCTATTGAACATTAAATAGGTTTTACGGTTTATTTACATGTTGTTGAAAATCTCTTTAGGGTTGGTTTAAGGTTCGTGTTGGGTTGGCTTAGGGTCTATTTGGACTTTGTTTTGGTTTGTTTAGGGTTGATTTATGACCTATCTAGGGATGGTTTGCGGTGTGTTTCGATCTATTCAATGGTCTGTTCAAAGCTTATTTGGAATGGGTTTAAGGTTTATTTAGGCTTGGTTTAACATCCAATTTAGGGTTGGTTTAGGATCTATTAAAGGTTGGTTTAGGGTTTATTTAGGCTTAGTTTCTGATTCATTTAGGGCGTGTTTATGATTTAGACTTGCTTTAGTTTTTTTAGGGAGATGGTTTATATAGGGTTAATTTAGGCTTGGTTTAGGGTTTATTTATATGATGTTTCTTAGGGTTTATATATAAGAAATTACTTTACTTCGTGTGATCCCCACCATGACATTTATCGATTTGTTACTGGCAAATCTTCTGGCATTCTATCTGGTATTCTATCTGGCATTCTATCTGGCATATCTTCTGGCATTCTATCTGGCATATCTTCTGGCATATGTTCTGGCATTCTACCTGGCATATCTTCTGGCATTCTATCTGGCCAGCATGCTGGCACTTTATCTGGCATATCTTCTGGCAATCCATCTGGCATTCTATCTGGCATATCTTCTGGCACTTTATCTGGCAAATCTTCTAGCATTCTATCTGGCATTCTATCTGGCATATCTTCTGGCATTCTATCTGGCATATCTTCTGGCATATGTTCTGGCATATCTTCTGGCATTCCATCTGGCATTCTATCTGGCATATCTTCTGGCAAATTATCTGGCAAATCTTCTGGCATTCTATCTGGCAAACATTCTGGCACTTTATCTGGCATATCTTCTGGCATATGTTCTGGCATATCTTCTGGCATTCCATCTGGCATTCTATCTGGCAAATCTTCTAGCATATTATCTGGCAAATCTTCTGGCATTCTATCTGGCAAACATTCTGGCACTTTATCTGGCATATCTTCTGGCATTCTATCTGGCATTCTATCTGGCACATCTTCTGGCATTCTGCCTGGCATATCTTCTGGCATATGTTCTGGCATATCTTCTGGCATTCCATCTGGTATTCTATCTGGCATATCTTCTGGCATTCTACCTGGCATATCTTCTGGCATTCTATCTGGTCAACATGCTGGCACTTTATCTGGCAAATCTTCTGGCATTCTATCTGACATTTTATCTGGCATTCTATCTGGCATTCTATCTGGCATATCTTCTAACATTCTATCTGGCATATCTTCTGGCACTCTATCTGGCATATCTTTTGGCATTTTGTCTGGCATATCTTCTGGCACTGAGCTGGGAAGGTCCCAGGTTGAGGTCCAGCGGTGCACACTGAGCTCGGAAGGTCCCAGGTTGAGGTCCAGCGGTGCACACTGAGCTGGGAAGGTCCCAGGAAGAGGTCCAGCGGTGCACACTGAGCTGGGAAGGTCCCAGGTTGAGGTCCAGCGGTGCACACTGAGCTGGGAAGCTCCCAGGAGCGGTGCAGACTGAGCTGGGAAGCTCCCAGGTTGAGCAGGTCCCAGGTTGAGGTCCCAGTGCACACTGAGCTGGGAAGTTGGCAAAGAGCTTGGCGAAGAGAGTTGGCAAAGAGCTTGGCGAAGAGTTGGCAAGGCGGAAGTCGAGGTGGAAGTTGATGCAAACATGGTCGAGGAGAAACTAGAGGAGGAGGAGGAGGACAGCTAGCCGAGGAGGAGGAGGAGAACAACTCTGATAAAATCTAACAACCCTCACCTGGCAGGTGGGGAACAAAAAGAAAGAACATCTTTGCCTACCCAGCCCACTTCCAAGGTGTTGTTTCTGGAAATTTTGTGGGCAAAGAAAACCTTGGCATTACTTCAATCAAAAGCAAATGGCTGCGGATGCTTCCGGCTCAGTATTGTTTGGGCCCTGCTTGTGCTGTTGCCTGCCCTGTCCCCAATTGCATTGAGAGGCTCTAAAGCAATAAAGAGAAGTTACAGTCCTTCCAAACAGTTGTTTCAACTCCTTGCGGCCATTGGAAACTCACTCTGCCCCTGTGGAATGTCAAACTCGTGGTCCTATGAAGCTGAAACTTGGAAGTGGCGCTGGGGTGGCCAGATTTGGTAGTGGCAGAACAGACCTTGCGATGCGACCAAGTGTGCTTGTGACGACTATGGCCTTGGCTGGTGGACTGAGCGCGGCCTTGTTTGGAGAGGGGTGCCACCAAGTTGGGAGGAGTGGAAGGAAGAGCAACGGGGAACAGAAGAGAAGAAGGCAATTGGCCATCGAACATTTTCTTGGCCCAGCAGCTGCCGCCTTTGCCTTTGAAGGTGGTGGCTTCCTACGTCAAACTCAATGGCCGGCCAAGTTCATTCATTTTCCCCAACTATGTTACATTACGGTAGCGATCGGTGGGGTCTGGGGTTGTTGTAACATTGTAGGTGGATGAATATAGTAGCCATCTGAACAGTGACGCCTTTGCAGGATATCTAAGATATGCATTTGAGACTAGAGCCTGGTTATTTTATACGATTTGTTGACTGGAACCCAATGTTTAATTCATGGGTTTTTATGAACACAATGTGGTTGGCCGAGTATTCACAAAGCAATGCCCCCAACAGATTACTGTTTGGACGCTTTCTTATGGAGGCACCAACATGAAAAAAACTACTTTTTATTGGATTGATTGCAAGGGGAACACCACACAGAAAATATGTAGATCTTTAGATCCTGGTTCCTTGGTTCAATTCTAGGAACAGAGCAAGATCAAATGGAACCATATTCCCAAATCTATGTCTATCCCAGTCCAGGAAAATTCTAGGATCAATAGGAAAGCAAGATCATGTCACACCAATGGTTATAATATGTTATAATTAGCCCGTTGTCCTGTTCCATGAAATACGCAAATTGGTGTTACAAACAAAGGTATTTCATGGACTGGGATAGACATATCGTCTTTGATAGGTAAAACCCATTAAGGCCCTTACTGTCTCATGGTTAGGTTTCACCTATCATTTCTTTTGTTACTCAACATCGCTATCATAGCTATGGAAGCAATGACCAATAGAAATCGAGGAAAAAAAACATGATTTACCGAATTTAAAAAGGGTTGCTATTTATTCATTGTGTTTGTGTTTAAAAAAACAGTTTTAGTTTTTTTGGATTAATGTGTTTCTGTTGTTCTGCTTCTCTGCTTTTCTGCTTGTCTCTTTTCTGTTTCTCTGTTTTTCCGTCCATTTTGCTTCCCTAGTGCACATGGTTGCCATGCTGTGACCAGGCCACAATGGTGCAAGTCTTCAAGGTGTTAACAGCTGCTTCCCATGCCCGTCTTTGCCATGTTTGTGACAGCACCACAATGTATACCTTTTTTTTATTGATTTACATGCACACCTGGTATCCCTAGATAAACCTTATACAATCCAACCCTAAACAAACTTTTGCAAGAATTTAAGCCAACACCAAATAAACCCCAAACCAACCCTAGGTAAATCCTAAACTAGCACCATGATAACATCCAATGAAACTAGTTTCATCCAACACAGCTGTGTTTCAACCTGCATTCTACATACACACAGTCAGTACCATATTTAATCTATAGCATTACATGTGAGAATAGTTATTGTCATTCTGTGCTATTAAGGTCAACCCCTGCGCCACCAACACCCTTCAACCTTTTTCTGTGTACTTGTTTCAATGAATGTTTTAACGCACCACTTTGTTTGATCAAAATTGACATATATATTATATAATCATATTATATATACATATACATATATATTTGTGACATATAATATATATATATACATATTTGTTAAATTAGTTGTTTATGCTCATCCTTGTTTATTTATCTATTATTTGACATGATCTCGCATCTCCTGCACGTTTTTTTTTGGTGTGTTGAGATGCCGTTTTGCATCTCACAAGGGGTGTTTTCAGGTTTCCAAGCTCCAACATTCAGAACAACCAGGTTTCCATGACAACAACCATGTTGCATATCATGCTGTTTTTTAATTTGAAGTACCCTCTGGTCATGACTAACATAGCCATGGGAAATGGCCCATTTATGCCCATAGAAATAGATGGTTTACCTATTAAAAATGGGTGAATTTTCCATGGCTATGTTAAATAACCAGATGGTATATACTAACATGTGAAAGAACCATGCAACATGAAAGGTTCAAGTACCAAAATGTAGCACATACCATGTAACATGAACGTTTAAAGTACCAACGTGTAGCAAATACCCTGCAAAATGAAAGGTTGAAGTGCCAAAAATATAGCACATATACCATGCAGAATGGAAGGTGAACATGCCAAACATGTAGCAAATACCATGCAAAATGACAGGTTCTAGATCCAAACTGTTTCAAATACAAGGCAAATGGTACAGGAAAGAAATCAAAAAACACAAAATGATGATTTTCCACTTTGCAAACCGATTCAATTACCAGAGGGTAGCTATATCATGCTTTATCCCATTCTATCCCCATTATACCGACACTTTTGTTGGTTTGGTCACCATGTTTGGTGGTTTACCTTTTATCCAACGACGTCACCATGTTGCAGGAGTGGATTCAGATGTTTTCTCGGGACCCTTGGGTCCCCTCGATGATTACTTTACCGACATTGAGGGCCAGGAGGAAGATGAAACTTGTCATGTGATACAGTGGATGGTTGCGAAAACCTGCACCAGTTGATAGATGGTTTATCCCATTATTTGTAGGGTTTTAACCGTTCAAGGTGGTGCAGGATTTCTTCCATCCACAGCATCAAGCACTGGAAAATTTGTTTGTCAAAGATAATAGGGTACAATACCGCATTTGTTCATGGTTTATCAGTGATTTCCCTTCTTCAAACGGCCATTTGAGGGTAGGCAATCCATTTTCAGACAAAGCTGTATCAGTGAGAAATATGGGAATACAGACCAGTACTTTTGGAGTGCGATTCAAGCTAGCACTGAAGCATGTTTTTTGAATGTGAGCAAGATCTGTTCCAGCGACGGGGTTTCAAACATATGACCTCCTTGTGTCTGAAGTGTGGTTTACCCAATCAAAGGTGGAGGACACATACCCAAAAAGAGTCCAAAAAGTGTGAAACCAGGAGCACCTTTCGGGGTTGCTATGGAAAATCCACAAGGCTGTGGAAGGGGCCCCCTAGTTAATCTAGTTAATCTAGTTATAGGTTGGTTTATAAGCCCATCTAACTAGTTCGTTATATCCCTATAAACCCTACTAGTCAACCAAGTTACAAGTCAACTTAGCTAACGAACTGGGCCCCTTCCTGTAACTGTAATTGTACGTATACCTGAAAAAAAAAAGGACCCCACTGCCCAACTTTGGTCGGGATGACTAAGTGACTATCCCAGCGGAACTATTTACCCAGGTATATTATGGGGATTTTCACTACAATATATGGGGATTATCTATGGGTATATGGAACTATTTACCCAGGTATATGGGATAATTTACCCAGGTATATGGAAAATCTATATTGTGTGTGAATTATCTACAATTTACCCAGGTATATGGGGATTTTCCATGGGGATTTTCCACCCCAGTTCTCATCCATTTTTTTTGATGGATTTTCCCGAACAAAAACCATCCAGCGATAATACGGGGTACCCCCATGACTTTGGACACCTCCATATGTAGATAGCCAGGTAAACCACTTGGGTCAATAGATAAGTAGATTGTAGGTTGTCAATGTGTCACAGCATGTCACGGCCAAGACATGGCCCGAAGAAAATCGCACATTGTTATAAATTGGTTCATAAACCCCATTAACTATATATAGATATATCACCAACAAAAACGATATATCACCAACAAAAACCATAGTGAAACTGGAGTTATGTGAACCCAACTGAACGCTATCGTGGCCGGGGGGGCACCACCAAGACGTGGCTTAGAAAATCGCACATAGCGTTGGGACATATGGAGCCATGGCCCGTGGCCCGTTCATCATTCCCTTGGCCTGCTGTGGGATGACCATTCATCCCATCCCATGTCCCTGATGATTAGCCGGCCTGGTAAACTGGAAAACAAAAAACGATGGACAGATCCACCATGGAAATAATGGGAATCCACGAATTAAGTATAAATGGTCATTTTCAATAGCTATTTTTGATATAACTAGAGGCTAATCCCCATTAGCTCCAAAAAAATCAGTTGTTAGGTCTTTTCACCCCGGGTTTTTTCTGATCAGGATTCGGTTGATCCACTAGACTAACCGGGAAACTATCCGTGGCTAGTTCGTCACCAAGTATTGTTGATGAAAAATTCTATGAATATCCCATAAAAATCACATGATTTGACAGTCATACCGAGTCATATGCGGATTTGTTTTTGTGGCTCAGACCCACGCTCCATTCAAAAAAGACAGCGGCCAGCGGCCCTTCATGTTCCAAACATGTTCAATCTCAGAATTTTGCATTTGATTTGAACACATCAACCAACAGCTCCGTTTTGAACTTAATTCAAAGATGTCCAATTTTTTTTGGTCTTTCCGACACTGGGAAACAGACCCTCCCGGTTAATGTTTGCTTGGTGATCCTTGGTGTGGCCGCGTCGCCTCTGCAAAATGAATCTTGGCTCTTTGTGTGGCCAGTGGAAGGTACTTGGGGGGTGGCCTCAGTAAAACGGTCAAAAACCACCTGTTACTTGGTGCCTCATTCCACTTAGTAAGTGGGTTGTAACCCTAGTTACAAGTGGGTTAACTGGGTTAACCCTACTTGTCCCACTTTATAACCAGGGATATAACCTACTTAGTAAGTGGAATGAGCCACCAAGTAGATTAATGGAATGATATGGAATCTCTCCCCACCTAGACGAAATATGGGTGATATGGATCATAAAACGCGGATCCGATTCATGGGGCAAAAGCACATCTAGGGTTTCCTGGCAATGGATTGGGTGCGGCACCACCTTATAACTGGCTGCTGCTTTGGAACATGAATTTTATTGTTCCATTCAGTTGGGAATAAGAATCCCACCTGACTTTCATATTTTTCAGAGGGATAGGTATACCATCAACCAGATAATATAACTAATGTCAATGTCAACCCTGGATTAATAAACCCTAACTTAGGCTGGTTAATTGGGGGGGTACCATAAAAAAGTATGAAATGACTATTGGAGGAGTACCCCCTAGTTTTCATAAACCATGCTTTGTTTTCATCCGGGGTTGACACTAACTCACTTCAATGGGTGAAACACTGGTGATTAATGGGATAATGATGGGATAATGGTGTAATGATACTGGTGATAATGGTGATCAATGGTGATTAATGATGGTATAATGATCAATGGTATAGTATGGTATGCAGTTGTTTCATGTTTTTTCATCATCATCATCAATCATCCCCCAGAAGGTAGAAACGTGGATGAAACCAGCTTGTTACAAGTGGCAGCAGGCCATGAGAAAGATCGCGTCTTAGAGCATGCTGGAAAACTATGCCACGGGGCATGGGACTCCATGCGGGTCCCAATCGGATCCGCGGCTGATGATCCTAAGTCATAGCCTATATTTCATCCCATAAGTGGTGGTATAATCAATTTACCAAGTGGGGCCTGCTGCCCCAGGAAGAATTTGTTGGAAGATTTTGTAGGTCAAATATGCTTAACGGCTAAAATTGGTTATAACATGTTAAAACTTAACTCAACCCCAAAAAACTGTCTTCGTTCTTTGTGTGAAACCAGGATGTTGCAGGTTTGGTAACTTTTCAGCAGTTTTTTTTGGAGATTATATATTTGGGGATGGGTCAAAACACTAGATGTCAATATTCACAGCTACTAGCCTGGGTTATTATTGTTAATAGCTACTGACTAATGATAAATGAAAATGTGTCAAAAATTGTCAAAACCTATCATTATTCCCATATTGGGCGGAATAAACATCCAGCATCATCCACTATACAATGACAAGGGTAACATCCAGGTAGCACGAACGCAGTTCCTCGGGATGATTTCACAATTTCAGAGACACTATACCACTCATGTTTTTTAGGCAAGAAGGGGACGTGCCAAGAGAGTGGGTTTGTCGTTTTTTTTTTTCGTTTAAGGCACGGCCATTTTTTGGGGATTGGTTTAGTTTTCAGATGGCTGGTATCCTCCGGGGATGTTATCACGATATCTAGGGGATTTAATCGTTAAACCATCTTTAGATGTGCGGATATAGTTCCCATATGCTCCATGGTGCTGGTATATTTACCATTATTTACCTACAAAACTGGGTATTTTTTTAGGGCAAATGTTGGTGTGCATACTCCAGCACCATGGTTTGCATCTGGGGTTGATCAATGAACCTGATTGAATCTATCACCGGGGAACGTCACAGTCAATCGCTGGGTCGCCCTGTCCATCTCTCATCAATGGAAAGCTGCCGAACTTTGAAAGCTGCTGAGCACTTTGGAAACACCAAAATCGTTTCCTAGATGACTGGATTCTGGATCTTCGTGTTTTTGCAGAACAAATCATCATGGTTCTTCTATATATGTTTGAATGTGCCCCCAGCAATTCTCTCTAAAGCCCTTTGGCTTTCAATTTCTGGCCAGGAATCGAATCGTGGCTTAGTCACCACCCTCTGGTCAACTGTTGCATAACTATGGAAAATTACCCTTTTCAATGGGAAAATCCACGATTTCTATGGTATGACCTATGGTCATCGAACAGGTGGCGAATCGTCCCCAGGCCCCAAAGGTCACTTGAATCGAACCATCGGCGCATCCCAGGAGACTGAACCTCTTTCCCTATCTTTGCGTAAGTTTCTTCGCCTATGGAAGTTGCAAAAGCTGTTCCGGACGCATCTTGCAGAAGTTTCGGGGTCGTTGGTCGTTGGTTTTTGTACAACATGATATGGGCATAGATAGGCGGAGAGGCTACTACTAGCCAGCTAAGAACGATATTTTGTTATTTGCTGTTTTTTGCTGGGTATCTAGGAGCCATGGAAGTCATAGTTCTGCTCCCAGATTCGACAGACTCTGTTCCTCTAGGTTTGAGTTCTGGAACTGGATGGAGAAAGGGTTATTTTGAATGGCTCATGGTTGGGTTTGTTTGAAAATTGGGCATCCCTACTTAGAAAATCATCCAACTTAGTGGTTAGTAACCATAGTGTTTACCTATTAACCTCCACTCCCATGGATGGGGTAAATCTAGGTGTGTGGCCGGGGTTCTGGTTTTGACCATGGCTGCGGTACCGTTTTTGTTGGTGTTTGATGGTGTTTGGCAAGCCCGAAGAGAAAAGTACATCTTGGGTTGGGCCAGGCTCCAGTACCAGTTTTTAGCCATTGATATCTGGGACAACGAAACGGGAGCTTGAAGCCACACCAGGGACACATTCACCAAGAACGCTTGCTGGGATGACCCTTTTTTTTTGCATGGCAGATTCCAATGATGTTTATCAATATATTCCCTATCATACTGCCATAATTCTGGAATATTGTCGCGGGTATATCCATTTTCTTTAAGACACATCCATATATAGTCGTAGATAGAAAATGGATGTTGCAACGATAGTCCCATTTTAGTGATCAATTTTTGACATGTCCATCTACTATCTACTCAAGGATTACTATATATATAATATACATACATATATACATGATATATATATATATTATCTATTATCATTATATGTATATATATATATGTATATTTTGTGATATTATAAATATAATACAATATAATACAATATACTAGAATATACTATAATATGATATAATATAATATAATATAATAATATAATATAATATAATATAAAATATATAATATAATAAAATAGAATATAATACAATATAATATAATATAATAGAATACAATATAATATAATATAATATAATAATATAATATAACTATTATATATCATATTATAATATATATATATATGTAATATAACAATATATATATAATTATATATGTTTGGGATATGTTATAAGTTTGTGTTTGCAACAACTTTTAGAACCACTACATACGATTCCTGGGCGGCAGATCCAGCTGATGATTGGAATCTCATCCACTGCATACTTCAAACATTAGCGATTTTATGGCTTTGTTATAATGATGCTAATTTATTATAATGGTTATGATATGTTATGATTATAATAATGTGATATTTACTAGTGCTTAATGGTGAACGATGGTTCAGAATGGCTACCTGATTTTATAGCCAACACATGTCAAACAAAAGCTATAAAGTGGGGACCTGCAGGAGCCCAAGGTTCAAGGAATCGAGGATGGGGAACCACCCATAGATTGGTTGCCATAGATTATTATATGATATGATATTTTCCCCAGATGTTGTTTCCAAAAAGGTAAAGTGATGATGTTTTTTTGAGGAACCACCTCTGGATGATGTTCGCGTTTTTTTCATGGATTTACCACATCGCCCGCTGAGACTTAAAGCAACTTTGCATGGGATCAACATTCACCACCGAGGTATGTTTTTTTTTTTTTTCGCATGAAACACCCTCTGATAAACTAACATAGTTATATAGAAGATTGCACATTTATAGTTGATTTACCTATTAAAGATGGTGATTTTCCATATGTTAAATTACCAGAGGGTATCCCCCATGAATATCCCAATTCAGCATTCTTTCTTATGGTTCAATCCTGCAGACAGACGCCCTATTTTTTTTTTCGAGCTTCGGCTAAAGAGGCAGCTGCACTAGCGATGATTTGGCCAACTTCATGCAATTTATGTCTCCCGGCAATAAAATTCGGGAAATCAGAACGGGCAGCCGGACGAAAATTGATAGGTTTCATGGCATCCTGCTGGGAGTCCATCGGCCATTACAGCATGACCAACTTGCCAATGGCCCCGAAACCAACGAAGTGCAAGAACTCGAAAAAAACATGGGCACTCATGATGATAGTTGATTTTTAGCTGCCAGTGTTGATTTGTATTTTCCGAAGTTCAAAGGAAACAACAGAAACAACGCATCATCATTGAAATCGAAACACGGGAACACCGAAACAAAGAGATCGACACCTCCAGCAAAAAAGGCTCAAAAGTGGATGGATTTTTTTTTGCACTAGATGCACTAGACTTGCTAAAAATCGTGCTGCGATGCTCATTCGTATGTCTTACCCTCTGGTAAACTGTCACATAACTATGGAACATCACCATTTTCTAGCTGGGAAAATCCACTATTTCTATGGTCATTTTCAATAGCTATGTTAAATTACCAGAGGATAATTATGGATTAATCACCATTAAATCACCATTTTCCTATGGTTTTCCTATGGTTCCCAGGGAATCTACTGGGCATATCTTTGATTCAGCTCGGAAATAGCAAATCCAGCCGACCAGTATGGCGACTGGCTGGCGGCTGGCTGGCGCTAAGTCGACGACTGGTTTGTTAGAGAAAGTTCATGCATTACCTATATATGTATATATATGGATATGATATATATATATATATGGATAATTTATATATGTATGGATATATAATTACCCAGATGCGAACCAATGGAATTTACATATGTATGGATATATAATTACCCAGATGCGAAGCATGGTGCTGGTATATTTAACTACAAAACTGGGTGATTTTGTTCGGGCAAATGTTGATGTGCATATTCCAGGACCATGGTTTGCATATGGGTTACCCTCTGGTAAACTAACATAACTATAGAAAATCACCATTTTCAATGGGAAAATCCACTATTTCTATGGTCATTTTCAATAGCTATGTTAAATTACCAGAGGGTACTGAAGCACTATTTGTTTTGGCTAAATCATGTTAAGACTGTGGCAGTGCCATGGTCAAAGCATTGGTTGAAAACTCACAAAAAAGGATTGATGGCATTGGTCATCAATCCATTAATAATCCATTAATGATCCATTAATAATTCATTAATCATTCATTAATCATTCATTAACACACCATGAATAACTCATTAATAATCCATTAATGTGAGCCCCCACAGTTATGCTTGTTGGTTTATATACCCCAAAAAAATATCCAGGGAATCCGTGAACTATAGTTCTACTCTCTGGTAATTTGTTACATAGCTATTGAAAATGACCATAGAAATAGTGGATTTTCGCACTAATCATGGTGATTTTCCATAGTTATGTTAAATTACCAGAGGGTAAGTACCATAAACATCCATAAACCATGGTGAAATTGGAGTTATCTTCCCCGAGGCCCGTGGATGCCTTTGCAGATGTGAAGAGTGGACGACATGTGTCGCTTGATGAAAAATCAGTGCAACAACTGGGATGAATGTGAGTTCATATATGTCTATATATATACTATATATATATGTGTTTTATAACATAAGTATATATATATATATATATTCTGTATATATAATAGTTATCGATAGGTATCTATAGTTCTCTGTATATCATATGATTTACTCAGCTCCATGGCCCGCTAGGGATTTTTCGGGGATGCCATGCCATGGTTGGAGGGTTTCTTCGCCATAGATGGAAACTCCAAGCCATAGATGCCATAGATGCTGGGAAATCTGGATTGAGCATCGATTTGATATATTTCATGGACTAGCTGATTGAAAAAAAGTTATCTTTTCATATCTTTTCCATCTGCGAAAAGCTGCGAAAAAAACATCTATAACTGGGCCCCCCTTATGTTGGTTTAGTTTTAACCCTTAAGCGTAACCATAGAGACCATCGAGAAATTGAAGTGGACTGTATCGACCTAATCCCACCTTTTTGGAACTCGTATGCTCGCAGAGCTTCCAGAACCGAAGGCGGTGAAGGGATCTTTTTTTGCCGCAGTCATACAGGGTGCCCCAGTTCGTTAGCTAGTTTATCACTCCAAGAATGAGGGTCTATGGAAATGATATGGAATTATATATCATAATGGGGGTTATAAACCAATTTATAGCTGGGGAGTACCGAAAGATAAGATATTTTTGAATAGGAATGCATATGTTGTCCAGCCAAAGAGCTTGTTTCTGGAGGGAGCTGGAAATCAATCTGAGAACGGGTGTGGTAACCAGGCTAAAAGGCTAAGGTGCCCACCCATAGTCAGAATATAGTCCATAGATGTCCATAGACCTCAAATGCTGATCTGGTTGGTGCTTTGGAAATATTGTGAAATATGATTTATATACAACTCTGGTTGGTGGTTTGGAACATTTGGATTATTTTTCCATTCAGTTGGGAATGTCATCATCCCAACTGACTTTAACTCCATCATTTTTCAGAGGGGTAGGTTCAAACCACCAACCAGAACTCTGTAGAGCCATAGGACAATGCGATAGAATGGGATGATGATTCCCAATGACAATCCGACACATGCAGCTCTCTCGACGCATGATGTGACGTCCATGTGTCGTCCAAAGTTGCTCTCGGAGAAGGCGGTTTTTTCTATGGACCTCACTGAGCCTCACTGGCCAAAAGGTCAATGCAAATGATGGTTAACAGATGTCATCTTTTTGGGGGGAATCTGAGGAGAATCATTGTATTTGTATGGTCAATGGGAATTCCAGGATCCAAAATTGGAGGTACTGTACCATATTTCTGGCCATATTTTGTGGGGATATTCCCTTACATAGGCCTTATATAGGCCTTATATATGGTAGGTGCCTCCAATTTAGGATCCTGGAATGGCCATTGATATGGCTCTGCTGGAGAATTGAAGCAGTTTGCAATCATGGCCAGTGGCATTTGTTGCTGCTCGTTGGCCGTTTTATACCCAGTGAATATGTAACATGAAGAACCATTTAATGTGCCAGTGATGGCCAGGGCAGCCGTGATGTTCCAGTTTTCCTTAGATTTCAGTGTTGTTTAACATAGCCATGGAAATTTTCTTATAAATGGAGGTATCAATAGGAAAATCATCTATAAATGGGCCATGTTCCATGGCTATGTTTGTCATAACCAGATGGTCATCTTTTTTTTTCGGGGTGCAATCCTTGCAGATGACGAGAGCTGAGGCGTGAACTACAGAAGCTCTTGCACACCGCGGACAGTCACCATGAGAAGATGGAGGCCTCAAAACCACCGTTTCGGTGGATGCGGTATAGCACCAAATAGCCACTTTTTTTTTTTGGAAAGTTATCATACACAATTTGTGTTCTTGGGGCATTTTTTATTTTCAAAGCCAATATTTTGAAAAGGGGGAGGGGTTGAGGATGTTCATCAACAAACATGGTGTTCCTAGGAGTTTGTTTAAGATGATTCTTTATTTTCACAATAGGAATCCCCTAAGACGCTGTGGAATCTATGTTTTAATATGTTTTTTGATGTTTTTTGCATACTTGCCAGGTGAGGGTCTCTACTCGTAGATTTTAGCAAAGGTGCAACTCCTCTTCCTCTATTCTCCTCCGCGTCCTCCTTCTGGAAGCTCGTGACTATGGACCCGGAGCTGCACGTGCCGCTCCTCGTAGGGTCTAGCTTACTCTGAGCGCACATGGACCCGAAAATATGCCAGATAGAATGTCAGAATCGATGTCAAACCGATAGCAAATTCAGATAGAATTACAGATAGACTGTCAGAATATTCAGATAGAATGTCAGTGGAGATCACTCGAGGAAAGTTGTTGTGAATTTTTGGCAGGTTTTGGTTCGCAAATCCAATGGTTGTCACCAGCAACTTCTGTGGGATTTGACCAATCTTGTTCGGATTCATCCTTCACTAGATATATAGCCTGTAATAATATAACGGTCATTATGGGTCATACATCTGCCATGTAGAATATTACATGTGTCCAATTAGCTCCCATTATTTGTTGCCTAATATTTTTTTTCTGGCTACAACCCAATTTTCTTCATAAACGCAATTAGTTCACATTATATATAATTATGTATACATATATATGTATATATATGTATATTATATATATATATATACACATACATACATGATTATATATATATATGCATATAGTGTGTCTTGTTTCTTTGTGTTTTTTTTTGACTCCGAGTTCCCCATAGCAAATTTCTGAGTGACCGATATAGCTATCTCCGCATTATCTCCATGATATACCATATCCATATCCGAAAGCGGCGGTGGTTTTTTTTGGGGGCCAAATGATGAAGAAAAGGGAGCGTACCTGGTTGGTGGTGACTGGAACCATGGACTTTTGAATGACTTTCCATATTAATTGGGAATCTCATCATCCCAACTGTTACTCACTCCATCATTTTTTTTAGAGGGGTAGGTATACCAACCAGATATGATATGGATATACTCGGGATATTTAGACATCTAGATAAATACACCACGTTTTTCTCCAGGTTTTTCACACCGATTTTGTAAAGTGCAGGGCATGACCCCTCCATTGTAGATGATCCCACAGAATGGTTCCATATTAATTGGGAATCTCATCATCCCAACTGTTACTCACTCCATCATTTTTTTTAGAGGGGTAGGTATACCAACCAGATATGATATGGATATACTCGGGATATTTAGACATCTAGATAAATACACCACGTTTTTCTCCAGGTTTTTCACACCGATTTTGTAAAGTGCAGGGCATGACCCCTCCATTGTAGATGATCCCACAGAATGGTCAAGGTGATGCCCTGTTCGCAAAAAAAATGCGACGACTGTTGGTGAAGAGTTCACTTCAATTTCACAGGGTTTACGATGGTTTTATGGATGTTTATGGTACTTACCCTCTGGTAAACTAACATAACTAAGGAAAATCACCGTTTTCAATGGGAAAATCCATTATAAATGGTCATTTTCAATAGCTATGTAACACATTACCAGATGGTACTTAGAACATCTTAGAATTATAGAAACGATAGAACGATAGATGTTCATGGGATGAAACAAAACCAACAAACATCACTGACATATGGAGGTTTCCGAAGTCGGGGCAACTCATTTGAGTCAGAGCCATTTTTCGAAAGCCATGGTGACTTGGGGATCTCCCATTTTTTTAGAAGCCTCCATATATCTAGCCTCTGGTAAACATACAAAAAACTGTGGAAAATCACCATGCTATTAATGGGTAAATCAACTATAAATGGCCATTTTCAATAGCTATGTTAGTCATTACCAGAGGGTAGGTCAATCTTGGATGGGTACTTATAAGGATTACTGTAGTCTTGTGGCATCAATGGAATTATCTACGTTCACCAGCTAAGAATTAACTCAATGGTAAACCCCTTGGTATTGGGGGTGCACCCAAGACCACCATCTAAAAAATATATAGCCAAGTTGGTTTGAAATATATATATATATATATTATATACACAAGCTATATCTATCATAAGATGATATAGCTTAACTATGTCTTATGATAGATTCACGTTACGAATGTAGATAACAGGTGTCACCAGGTTTCACCAATCAGGTTTCACCATGTAAATCACCCAGCGCGACATCGAGATCGAATCCGGGATTCTGGGATCCCTGGAACTCTTCTTTGTTGAGGATTTCACCATAAAAATCACCATGATAGTAATGGAAAATGGCCATAGAAATAGTGGATTTTCCCATGAAAAATGGGTGTTGATTTTCCATTGCTATGTAACAGTTCACCAGAGGGTACCTCATTTTAATGGTATCTATTAATGGTAAATACCAGATGGTAATAGATAATAAATAGATAATACCAGAGGGATACCAGATGGTAATCATTAATAGGTAGGTAGACTTATCATGAATCACCATGATTAGCCTCTGATATCCCTCTGGTAAACATACAAAAAAATATGGAAAATCAATGAAAATCACCATGCTATTAATGGGAACTTACCCTATGTTGTGAGAGTAATCACCATTTATTATTGTAGCTGAGGATTTGTACCAGAGAGTAATCATCAAAGATATGGCAAATGTTGTGAGATTACCCTCTGGTAAACATACAAAAAACTATGGAAACTCACCATGCTATTAATGGGAACATCCACTATTTCTATGGTCATTTTCAATAGCTTTTTGTATGTTTACCAGAGGGTAACCATTAAAAATGGAACACCGATTTTAACCATAACTATCCATAGAACAAACTAACCATCAACCATGACTAACCATTGTTAACCCGTATGAACCATGGAAAATACCATTTTTTTTATCTACTCTACGTATGTTTTCTATGGCGATGTTGAATAATGGTTGATGGTTAGAAACTGTTAATGACTATTCATGGTTAACCAACTGGACGGGTACAAACTAATCCTGAATCGTCTTCTGGTGGATTCAGCAGCCTCACCAGCTATCATTGGCAATGAATTTCAAAAGAACATGGAGGTGTGTTTTCTTGATATAAGCAGCCAAGATGTTATTATAGTATCCACATCTATGCCCCCCTTTTTCTGTTTGTTGTTCCAACAAGACGCCATTGTTTCTTGGGTGCACTTGTATCCTTTGTGCTCCAAGTGCCGTGGAATGTGTTTGAACCCAACAAAAAAAAACTCCAAGATTACAGTAAGGTCTGAGAAGGTGTCTAGAGCCATGGTGTATTATGTGTAGATTGACCTACCCGGCCTGGTAAACATACTAGCATAGCTATTGAAAATGACCATTTAGTTCGTGAGTTTTCCCATGAAAAATGGTGATTTTCCATCGTTTTTTGTATGTTTATCAGAGGGTATATATATACATAAATATCTATATACATAAATATCATGAATATGCCTGTATAATATCATATCAAGTTGGACAGTTATATCAGTTATATCCCATGATATAGGCCACTTTAAATGCATGGAGGTTTCCAAAGTCATGGGGCTATCCCCAATTCATCCAAGTCAGACCATGGTGACTTGGGGATCCAAACCATGACTAAAGAAAACCCCCTATGATCCCCCATATATCTGGGTAAATTATAACGACCTCACTGTTCTCCCTCACTGGAATCATGGTTAATAAGGGGAATCATCCCAAAATTGCCTTATTTCAGGTTAGTGAATTATTTGTAATTTACCATGATATATAGCTTATATATATATATGTACATATATATATATACACACGGATATCCATAAATATCGATAAATATCCATAAACATCCATAAACATCCGTAAATCATAACACCACTTTCCATTAAAAAAATATGTTCGTTCTATGTGTTTCTTTGTTCTTCCAAAAATGCCAGGCCTCGGCTCAGCTTGCCAGCCTCGACCACGTCAACGTCACCCCCCACGCCCACGTGCCAGCGGCGCTCACCCGGTTTCCCACGGAGTCGGAAGTGGACGCCGCCGCGACCCACGCCATCGCGGCCGCTTCAACGCCCATGAACGATGTGAACCTGGCGTTGCTGGGATGGAGAACTAGCCACGGCTCTGGGGGATATATTGGGCTTTTGAAAATGGAGTAATGATCCCATTTACCCTCTGGTAAATTAACATAGACCCTGAAAATGACCAATTTATAGTGGAAACTAGTCTTCCAATCCCTATCTGGCAGGGTCCATGTTAATTTACTGGAGGGTAAGGTGCACTTGTTTGGGTCTATCCATTTTTGTCGACCGCGAATCTAACTATCTCGAATTGGATGGGTGAGAATAAGCCAACTTATATACCCTTTTGTAATCTAACATAACCAAGGAAAATCACCATCTTTGTTAGGCAATTTATCTAGGCCGTTTTGCATAGCTATGTTAAATTACCGGAGGGTAATTGAGTCACTGTCCCAGACATGGTTAAAAGGAACGCTTGCAGGAACCCTTTGGTTTTGACTCGGAAGAAACTGCACGTTTGAAGAACTGCGGAGTTTGTTTCAACCACTTTTTTTGTTGCGATTCAAGTTGTATCCCTAATTTTGTTTGGTAAAATCCCACCGTGTTTAAGGGTTACATAACTCCCTAGTTGGGGTGATATCAACTTGTTTTCAACATGTCAGTGTTTGTGGCTCTATGAGTTGGATGGGCGTGCCTTCACAACTAGAAACAACGTGGTGCCCTAGTTGGTTTCGTTTGTTTCAAAACGGAACTGTAGTTATAAGTTATATAGTTATATCTACCATATGCTCCCTGTATGGAATATTTACATTATATTTACATGTATTTACCAACATGTGCCCTAAAAATCACCCAGTTTTGTAGGTAACAAATACCATACATGATCATACATGGTATGTTTTTCCTAAACCCAACTTAGCCCAACTTCGCCAAGATACGGGCACGCCATTGCTTTCTGAATCCAGGTTCTACGCTGAAGATCCGGCTTCTCAAGCGCGGGGGAATCATAATACTAGGGCCACTCGTTTTGACCGCGGGAGACGTGGGAAAGACCTTCCCGGCTCGGTATCTCGTTGCAAAGGTTCACAGTAGGTGAAGTAGGTTAGGATTCGTCCAGTTATTGGGGTGAACTAAGACACTGAAAAAAATATGTACATGTATAGTATATAAATGTACATAATAAATATGTATAGTGTATAATATGTATAAATATATACCCATTAATAATTGTACATATATATATATATATACACTGTTCCTGGGTAAGTTGGCCAGGAAAAAAAATGGGTTGACCAACCACGCTCGAAGAAAAACAAGTGGTATTTATTGAATGAGCCAACCAACTCGGGTACTATAGATGTATCTCCCATGAATGTCTAGATATGTGCTTGATCATATAAACCAACTTACCCAGGATTTTTTGCAAAACCCCAGTGTATCAATAGAGGGACAGTTTGGATTTTGGTGCTAATTTAAGTGATCATTGTTTTGGGGTGTTACAGTGGGTACCCTCTGGTAAACTAACAGTTTGCTACAGAAAATATCACCCTTTTTAAGAACGGTAAACCATCTATTTCTATGGACCATGGCTTCCAGTTCGCAAAGTGTAAACGTTTACCCTCTGGTAATTTAACATAGCTATGGAAAATGGACCATTTACAGATGATTTTCCCCATAAAACCTCCATTTATAATGGATTTTCCATAGCTATGAACAATTACCAGAGGGTATCAGTGGGTAACCATCCGCCAATTTTCGCCGTTGGAGAGATCATCCCGGTGAAACCCGCACATTTTTCAATGGGAGATCTTCAGGATCCGAACAGATGGAGGTACGGAACTGTACCATCTTTCTGGCCATATGACTTGTGGGGATTTTTTCCCTGAAATAAACAGGCCTAAAATTTATAGGCCCAAAATATGGTAGGAATCGGTAGCTCCAATGAATGGGTTCCTGAAATGGCGAACTTACCACTTAAATGTTTTATACATTGCATTATCATACCCAGATAAGCTCACCATGGTGCTGGTATATTTAACTACAAAACTGGGTGATTTTGGACAAGGGCAAATGTTGGTATATAAATATTCCAGCACCATGGTTTGCATATGGGATATGTTTTACAGTTTTACTAAATTGAATTGGGAGATGAGAAATTGAGATATGTAGATTATGTATAGATTATGTATATGCGGCCCTGAAGATAAATTTGCCAAGAATTACATCTCAAAAAAAAAAAACTGGCGCCATTTTGGCAGATTTTTCTGTGGTCATCCCTGGCGAACTCCAGATTCGGTTTTTGAGCTTCGAACGTGTCCAGCTGTTTGGCATCTTTTTTGGGGTTGCCAAAAACCAGTGGCTACCCTGTCATCGTGTCATCAAACGTGGCGGAAATCCACTAGAAATGGGGATTTCTGTTTCGGAAAATCAGCTTTTGAATGGTGTGTTTTCCATTGCCATGTTTGATGACGCCGGAGGCCAAAAATCTTAAAAAGATCAAGGCGTTTGCGCTAAGTTCATACCCACCTTTATAAGTGTCAGAATTTCAGTTGTTGCAATCTGCATTTTGGTTGTATCTCCAAATGAGCCATCACTATACCTGTTGTTGGTTGGATACTTTAGTGGGATTTACTGCCTGTCTATGGATGTCTATGGCTATTATTTTACAGTATTTAATGAAATGGGACAGGATGTGATAGGACTGTTTGTTTTCATGGCTAATATGGTTTTATTTTTATTTGCACATGGGATACGCAAAACCCTATGTTTACCATTGTTTAACCATCTTTAACTACTATTTAACCATTATTTAATATGATTTGAGCATATTTACTGTAACTAGTTAACAATCGAACTTTCACCATAGGGAGGTTTCCAAAGTCATGGGAGTACCCCCAAATCATTCATTTAAAAGACTGGATTGTCCATCATCAACCATGCAGCGATAAGGGATACCCCCATGACTTTGGAAACCTCCATATGGCTATGGATATTAATACCGAAATAGATAAACCATGACTAAATCGGGTGATTTCGACACTTGTTCTAAACATCCATCCATAAATCTCAAGGAGAACTAGATGTGAACTACGTTAATAACATCGTAGAACTACCTTCGGCTACAAGATAACTTGACCGCCACGGTACTCTCCTCCAGGATTGGATCACGGTCTATGCCTTGCTGGTCCCTGGGCTGTTCCACTTGGTAATTCCAAAAAAAAGTGGTGTGAAGTTCGTGTTACCAAAACATGGTGATGTTACGTTTTATGATGTTTTATGGTACTTCACTGGGATAAAACATGGTGATTTAATGGAACTTAATGGGATTTAGGTGAAAACAAAATGGTGAAATATGGTGAATATAAGTCCAATAAGTGCGATTTATGATACTTATAACTACTTATAACCGTAGTAGTGTGTTTATAAGCCAACTTATAACTTGGGGTCCCACATTGTAGGAATGTATATGTTTTGCTGAATGAATACATCATCTACATGGCAGCTGTTGAATTGTATTAGTCTATTTAAGATCAACCCTCCAATGATTTTTCAGAGCTTGCGAACAGGAAAATGGATGAAATTTGTCCGTTTTAGAGATGATGTGTCCATTAAACATTCGTTCATGTTCACCTTAAAAAAGTTGTTCTCAGATGGCAAGAACCATTCTTATAAAGTCTTATACAGGCGAATCTTAACCATCTATCATCTTGGGGGGGTCACCTTTAGTCTTGGTGAAATTTCAAAGAATTTTGTTCACCAAGATCAGGATTGGAGCAAAAGAACTGGGCATTTCAGAAATGGGCAATCCGTCCTTAAATGATGTTTATGATTTTAATTCGGATAGTGTGTAGATTTTTTAAATGAATCTAGCTACCCTCTGGTAATTTTTCACAGTTTGCTGTTGGTAAAATTGCCATAGAAATAGTTGATTTACCCATTAAACATTGTGATTTTCCATAGTTTACCCACTGAAAACCACTAAAAATGGTGATTTACCCATAAAAAGGGATGAATTTCCAGTTCGCAAACTGTGAACGTTTACCGTGCTGGCGTGCTGGGAAGTGGTTTTCTTGCTGTGCTGTGAAGGTCTCCCGTTAATCCCACAACGAACAGCTGGCTCTTAAGGGAGTTATATACATATATATATCATTATATTAATACTGCAATCATGGAGCAAAACTCTAATGATATGTTAATGATCATTGTTAATGATTGTTAATTAATGGTTAACGATATGTTTTGAATACATGATATTAATGAACTTATATGTATAGAATTATAGAATTGTATAGATTATTATAGTTTCTATGATTTGTGCAAAGTGTGATAAATAATTGATCATGACAAGTAGATGTTGCTCCGTCTGGTTTGAGGCAGTGATCATGTTTGCTCTAAGCCCGGTCGCCTACTATGTGACTTGCCGTCAGAAAACGCATCTTTTCTGGATCCGACTGGCCTTTAAAAATGGAGACAAACTTTCCTGGAATACCGACGCATTTCATTTGAATGATAATGTTATGGGGTATTCATGGGCATGTGCTAGGATATGTTATATATATAATATACAGATATATATATACATATACATATATATATATACATATATATATATATACATATATATATACAGATATATATATATATAGATAGATAGATAGATAGATAGATACATATATATATAGATACATATATATATATAGATACATATATATATATATACGTATATATATATATTATAATCATTTATATATATATATATATGTATACAAGAATATCGAATTTCTGGGTGAGGCCACCACTTTCCTCGTGCAGCAGTGATTGAACCAGAAACAAATGGATTTACCGGGATGATGGGAATACTGCATTTCTTAAGACACCGTCAAACATGGGATTGAATAGATTTGAATAGGATATCAACGGGGGTTGTATGGTTTTTATAAACAACAATGTCCAATTTGGGTGTGTCTGAAACTGGGGATGTAATCCATAAAATGGATTAAAATGAAAGTCTTGATGGCGAACACGTATCCAAAATTAATGAATTCATCATCCAATCATCCATAATTCCTTCCTCCACCACTTGGTGGAGAGTGAGTCTTGACCGACTTCAGTCGTGGCGGTCTCCGAGTCACAAGCTGAAGACAGGATGCAGGTGGTAGCTACATGCTGGTGAGTGTTGAGGTAAATGTTTCTGGTAAACCCCAAAAAGATGCCAAAAAAAGATGAAACGGCTTTCCATGGTGCAGGATATTGGTTCGGTGATATTTCCGAAACCTTTCATGCCCAGGTCTTTAACGTCGGCATCTTTGAGGTTGCTATAAGGTTTTTATATCCAGAACAGGCAAGTATATCATGCAAAGTGCATGACCTTTTTCAGGAATAAGTACTCCCAATGTGAAGCGTCTCTATTCCAAACAGCAAATCTAATCCAATGACTTTCATGCAGGATGGGGCCCCCGTTGGATAGCGTTCAGTTGGTTTATAAATGGCTTAACTATAGTTTATGGTAGATATAACGAACTAGATAACTATGGTTAATGGGGTTTATAAACCAACTTATAACTGGGGGGCCCCATCCTGTAGGTTTCATGGAATGGCTCACTGGCTCACCAACCTTGTCAGTTCTGATGGGTTTTTTTCAGATATTTTAAGCTTGAGAGAATCTCAGTTACCTCACCCTGCTTTTCTTTGCTTGTCACTAGGTCAATCTTACATGGATACATTAATCCTGAATAGTCTTTTGGTATGGGAATATCTACGTTCACCAGCAAAGAATTTGTCATTTTTTGCAGGGTATCTGGCAGATTGGCAATGATTATTCATTAAATATCCCATTATTAACCATCATGAATCATTACCCTCTGGTAAATTAACATAGACCCTGAAACTGACCAATTTGTAGTGGAAACTAGTCTTTCAACCCCCATCTGGCAGGGTCTATGTTAATTTACTGGAGGGTAAATATCACCAAGTATCGATCAAAAAAGCTGGACAAAAAGACCTGGACCATAGCAGACCTGGACGTCCATCCCCTTTTTTCTGGGTCTACTTGAGATGGACCACCGTTAAATCCGGATCCAGGTCGTCCATTCGTAAAAATTCCCGTAGCGCTAGGGCAAATTTTGAGCAGAAAATCATGAGTTGGCAAGGGTGTTTTCTATCATTTTTTTAGATAAACTCACCATATTTCAACTCACAGGTCAAAAATCTTGGTCAGTTGTTTTTCTATTTCTATCATGTTCAGAAATATGGTCAGTTGTTGGGTGTCGAAAACCATTCAACTCACCAACTCTTTCTCGAAAAAACATCGGATCATCCGCGTCCCCCGATTGGCTGATATGGATGATGCCCGAAATATCCGACCTACTGGGGAATCTGTACCCGTACCCCAACCTCTTATAGGTAGGTTAATCCTTCAGTTGTTGTTGCTATATAAATGGAAAAAAAACCAGGCAACAAGTAAAAGATAACTTTTTGAGGACTACTAAAGGTTTTTCGCATGGAATATGTGAAAATTGGTTTTGGGGAGACCTCAAGCACATCCGAGTTTATCACCAAAAACATCAAGGTTCGACAGATATTTGAGGAACAAAAAGATGGAAAATCAGATGGAAAATCATAGACTGTGGTGCTACTTATATTCTTGCCCCATTTTAGCTCTAGTCATATCTACCAGAAAGTCAACCTAGCCATTTTCGTTGGTTTATAGCTTTTTTTCCCGCCCCATCTACAAGTATGTCATGCCCACAATCCCTAGTTCAGCCAGTTCCAGATCCCATCTTCACTCACAGAACTGGATGAGGGGACAATTTTAACCGGAAAGCCCTATATGTGATGGTAAAAACCATGGTTTCCGGTTAAGATGTTCCCTTAAACCTATTGATTCACATCTTTTGTCCATGGCCGAGGATAGTTGGAGTGCGCTGCTTCTGGTTATGGTCTACCTGGCGAGTGTGACCTTGGTCAAGGCAGGGCCTGGAGCGACTAGTCATGGTGATGTCCGTGATGTCATGGGGGTACCCCAAAAACCATCCAAGTCATTAGACTCATTAGACCTTAATATTTATTTAATTAATACATATCCCATAGGATCCATGGTGCTGCTATATATATATATGCTAACATGGATCCCATCAATATACCCCAGTCATGTTAGCATATATTATATACCAGCACCATGGATTCTATGGGTATGGTAAAAATGGAATCCCCCATTATTTTGAAAACACACATTAAAACATCGGAGAATCATCGAATTATTGCTGGGGGATTTTCCAACAAGCCATGGAGCTGATGACACCGGAGGCGCCCTGGTGTCTGGCTATGGTGTTTGGAGTGATTTTGACATATTTTGACTCAGCTCCAGCTTTTTTGATTGGGAAATCTTGGGAAATTCGGGTGAGTTTGACATACTTTGACCAGGTACTGGAACTAAGGGGCTCCTAAAATTGCCCCCCCAAAAAAATCATCAAAGTGTGTCATTCTTAGGAAGCACCAATGTCGAGGCCCGAATGGAAAAACCACAGTAGTCGCCCCAAAGCAGGAGACCCACGGGTCTTGGACTTGGCTTAGGGAACTGCACGAACCAATGCACTTACGAACTGGCAAAGTTGGTGAACATAAGTCCAATAACTGTATATGGTTTATATGGTACTAAAAAAGAACACCAACTATAGTAACTAGCTATGTTCACCAACTTAGCCAACATATACTTATAACATCTTTTCTAACATCTTATAACATCTTATAACATCTTTTCTAACATCTTATAACATCTTATATATTCTTATATAACATTTATGGTACACATCTAACTTAACTCGCTCTGGTACTTTGAGCTCGAACCTCACAGCTACGTGGATTTTTGTAAGTCCCCATTTCTGGTTATTACTGTAACCCCTATCCCATCTATAGATGGGTTAAAACATGTTAAAACTAAGTATGGTTATTTATTATCCCATCTATAAATGGATTATATATAACTCACTGTTAATATGGTTATTAACCCCTTATTCAGCCCTTATAAAAGTGGACATGATCACGGATTCAGCCAGATCTTTTTCGGCCTTTTTTTAGGCCACTGGTTATGGGCCCCGAAAAAACCATGGGCCTCGTTTGAAGTCACCAGCGTCTTGTTTTTGATCCAAAACTCAACTCGAAATCTCTAGAATTCGACATGAATTCGACATGAATTCGACATGAAATCCATAGAAATCTCTTGAAATCGTTCGAAATCCATAGAAATCCAAAGCCATGGTGAATCTTTTCCGGGGATTTCATGAACTTCCCATGTGAAAGGTCCAGTCAAACCCCTTGGATCCCCAGAATCGACGAATCTGACACGTCCAATTAATGTTATCCCATTAATGTCAACCCCGGATCAATATATTAATTGCTATAACATAGTGACATAGGGGATACATATTGGTATAATTATAACATATTATAACTATGGTATAACTATGGTATAATGGATCCCTAATTATAATAACCATGGTTTATTAGGGAAGTACTGCCCAAATAGTAAGAATCTGATATTTAAATGGTATTCCCCCAATTAAACAACCGTTTGGGTTTTACTAATCCAGGGTTGACATTATATCATATAACACATATAGGATGGGGCCCCCGTTGGATAGCGTTAAAAGTTGGTTTATAAATGGCTGAATTCTATGGTTTATGGTAGATATAACGAACTAGATAACTATGGTATTCATGGGGTTTATGAACCAACAAACATCACTGGGGGGGCCCATCCTGTATAGCCCTATATATATACACACCATTAACCATAGTTATTGGAGTTATAAACCAACGTAGCTAACTATGGGGCACCACCTTGTATGTATATGTATGCATGATAGTATATACTATATATATAGTTACATATATGTGTATATAGTTATGCTGTATATATGTAATTATAAATGTGTATATATATATGTATGTATACATATATATATATTGTATATATATATACACATGCATACATATATATATATACATACATATTGATATTGAATGCCCAATCAACGTTTCCAAGCGTCATGTCCCTCGTCCACGTTTTTACAGGTCTTTGTCAAGGAGACGATCAGACTAGGCTTTGAATATTCGGAGACCATCACTTCTCTACACATGATGAGCGTCCCTTTGATCTCAGTTTCCGGCGATGCTGGGTGCAGTTTAAACGGCATATGGTACAGGGGAAAAGGATGGAAAAGGAACAATTGGAGAATATGGGTGTGACTCTAAACCGAGAATTCTTTTTGAAGATGATGATTCGCCAATAAATTTTTCAAGGCTCCCCATTTTTGAGAAGAAACCATTTGGTAAATCATGCCCGAAGCATTTGGTGGTTTGGCTTTGGCTGGTTCCACTAAGATATTTCAGAGGATAAAGCCAAAGAAACACAACCCGGGAAGTCACGTGAGGCATTATATATATATATGGACACCCACGTGACTGCCACTAAAAGAGACGTCAATCAAATCAAGTCATTTATCCAATCCTAAAATATAGTGATAAAGTATCATGACTTCTATTTGTTTTTTCGTTGCATTTTTCGGGGATGACTAGCTCAACTGAACTTGCCAATCCAGCCATGGGGACCCACAGGTAAAACTTGCTTCACAGTGGCAACTAGTTCGATATATCCATTAACTAATGGTTAATAATGGGGTTAATAATGGTGATTAATCCATAATTAATGGTGATTAATGGTGATTAATTAAGAACCAACTAGTAACCATAGTTAACCTTTATTATCTAGGTTAAACCAACTGGATGGGTACAAACTAATCCTGAATCGTCTTTTCGTATGAGATTGTCTACCGTTCACCAGCTAGCATTTTCAGACACGTAGAACATATCTTGAAACACCCTAAGGCTTACCTAAGGGATTGGGAGCCAGGAAACAGGGACCAGGATTCTTCACCACTTACGATTCCATTCAAAACATCTATGCCATGTATGGCACAAAGATGTCCAACAAGTCTTTCCAAGACGCTAGTTCGATAACTGATTTTCCAATGTTTAACCATCATTTTTCCAAAATAGCAACTTTCCAGGTTTCCAGGTTGCATCACCAGTTACTTGTTGGCATCACTAAAAAAATCATGGGGTTGCCACATGTGTCCGCGAGATTAGGTGGCTCTGGTGGTCCTGTGCTTCGAACGCCCACGCATGGCAGAAGCTTAGTTGGTACGTGGGGTTTTTCATAAATGGCGGTACAGGATGGGGCCCCAAGATAGCTAAGTTGGTTTATAAATGGCTGAATTCTACGGTTTATGGTAGATATAACTATAGATAACTATGGTTAATGGGGTTTATAAACCAACTTATAACTGGGGGGCCCCATCCTGGACCCCAATAGCTGGATGGTTTATAATGGGAAATCCATCTATAAATGGATGATTTGTCGGGGTAGCCCTATTTTTAGGAAACTAACGTCGTTTGCTATTGAAAATTACCATTTACAGATATTTAGTTCGTTGGTTTGACCCATTGACAAATGGTGTTTTTCCATCGTTTTTTGTAGGTTTACCAGAAGGTGGCTGATCCAAAAGATGAAGGGTTGACTGGTTGTGAGCTATTCGCTGGGGAAACCGACTGCTTTGATACGATCTAGTACGTTAATCTTTTGTGATTTCAATGTTTTGCTAAAGATATGATCTAATTATATCTAATTATATATAAATTATATTATATAATTGTATGTAGAATTTATTAAATATAGAATTATATAGATTGGTCCTAAACAGAAGGTTTGAACATAATTAATCACGGTATCCAAGATTTATATCATTTTTTCAGCTAGGAATACAGTCGTGGGAAGAGACCTTTCAGTAAATCGGCCACGACATGGGGCTTCTTCGAAGCACGGTGCTAAACGTAGGGAATGGGGGAATGACCCAAACCAATAGCTATGATTAGCTATCCAGAAGTGTTTTCACACATATCCAATATTTTTTTCTCATTCCCTATGTTTAGCACTCGTAAGTCTTTGAACCAGAGAATCTTTTCCAATCTTAGCATCATCTACCATGGACTTCATTAGCTTGTCCCTAAGGTGAGCTTCAAAGTAGCGTAGTAGAAATTGCCTGTCCTCTAATGAGGCAATGAAGAATCTGCCGCGTTAGCTAGGGTAAAAAAACTGCATGGCAAAGTGGAAAATGTATGGTTTCCCCAGGAAAATCATCTACACATGATGGTTTATCATGGTTTATCATGGTTTATCCACATCTATGTTATACCCTTGCCCTGGGGTATGTCCATTTCTAGATGTTTTTTCCAGAAAGAAAGGCTTGATTGTGACAGTTTTCAGGTGTTTCTGCCCCACCAGGACGCTTTGCCAGTTCTACCCATTGCTGCTTTGAATGGCGTTTCAGTCCTTACCAACAACAAGGCCCTGAGGGAAACAACGGCAAATGGCATGTGTTGGATGTTCTGAAGAGATCCTTTTTTGAACCACACAATGGTGGTTTTTGTTGGGAAAATCTACAGGCAAGCGTGTTTTTCCCCTAAAACCGATTGGGAGTTCCTATACAGATGATTGTATATCATTAAGTATCTATAGTATCTATAAATATCTATATCTATATCTATAAATATCTATACTTTCCCTTAAATCAATCCAATGATTGTCCAAGGAAGACCACAGGTTGACCTCGGTTCGTCAGGAGGCTTCCAGTCGAAAAATGTGATGATTCCACTGAAACAAAAAAGGCTACTCCTCAGTCCTCATACCAGCAGACGGACATTTCTTATGTTTTGTCATGTTTAATTTTCTTGCTTAGTTTTTTGTTGTTTTGATACCATCCCAAATTGATACATATCATGGTGTGGCCATGAGTTTCATGAATTAATGGAATTTGAAACCACCAGACGTTAGTTTTTTGATACTATCCAAATTGATACTAATGGTATGGCCATGAGTTTCATGAATAAAAAATCTTGGACTTTGTCATCCCACCATCAGACGTGGCATAAAAAAATGGGGAAGCTGCTGCATGCCCAGCTCTTTAGCTCCATAGCTGGAAAATCCCACCGAAAATCCCGAAGAAACGATGGAGCTTTTAATGACAAAAACATACAAAACCCATGGAGCAAATCGTGATTTTCATGACCGGATGGTACAAATTTGGGTCTGAAAATGGACCCCCAAATGCCCTGGATGAATCTCTCATGTATTTTCCCTAGGAAAATTGCTATTCTTCGGTTTTTGTTTTTCTCCGTTTTCATTTTCAGACCCAGATCAGTATACCAGACATACCCCAGAGAAAATGATTCATCCCTGAATTGGTCAGTTGGAAAAGCTGCATTTTGCGATCAAAAACCACCAGCTTCCAGACTTCCCGAAAAAAGATGAGTCCAGCCTGAATTTCCAGCGTTAAGTGACTAAGTGACTCAAAATTCTTGGATCCAGCACATTCAACCAGGGCTTCATTCAGGGAGCACAGGGAATTCGCATAGCTGGCATAGCTCCCAGTCCCATTCCTCTTGGGTGTTGATCCGACATATCCTGAGAGAAAATTCATCGAAAAAAACAGGCTTATTCCAGCCCAGTAGAGTCATTAGAGATAGATCAATGACAGCCAGTTCTGGGGGTATTTTTTAATTTTTGTTGGTCATTTTACCTCGAGATTGATCATTAATATCCTTAAATTTACCCCTGTACCAAATATTGATTGATCATCAATATCCTGGATGGGTATATCAAAGGATACCAAATGGGGTATATCCTTATATTGATCATCAATATCCCTATCTTAATCAAGGTTTACGTACCTGGGGTGTTTGGAGCAACCCAGTAAAAACCTTCCAACTTCTGCAGGGTTTAGCTCAGTCATGATCCAAAAGAATTCACCGTGGCTTCTGTTCCAATGGCTTGGATGAGTTTGTGGCGCTTAGCCAGCCCCTGTTGGTTGATGAAAACCCATGGGAAAACCATAGGAAAACCATAGGAAAACCATAGGAAAATGGTGATTTAACCAGCAAAAATGGAGTTCACCAAGTGGGTTAAACTGGCTGGGTACAAACTAATCCTGAATAGTCTTTTGGTATGGGATTATCTACGTTTACCAGGTATTGCCAGCTAAGAATTTGTCATTTTTTCTGTATCTGGCTAATTGGCCATGTGATTTGGGGTTTTCCTAAGTCCTGGGTTTCAGGGGGGGTACCCCCAAATCATCATTTTTTTTTCTGGATTATTCCATGATTTGTCCCCCCATGATGAAGCCACCCATGACGAACATGCTGTGAGGCGTTCCTCTTTGGCGGTGTGGCCTTTGTCTCCATGGTGGCGGCGAACGTGCCATTCGCGACTTGGCGATTTGAAGAAAATCCACCAGATACATATTTAATATTATATTATACTTTACATACATATGTTTTATCATATGGATGTATTGTTTTTGTCATATCAATAAATAATTTCAATGTGTTTTGCTAATGAGTCCAGCATAGAGACACCCTGATGAATTTGATATATTCTAATGGGAATGTGATAAATGATAAGTTTGATAATATTATGGTAATTCATATTGATAGTGATGGTGATGAATGATAGTACTAATGAGAATGACAATGATAATGAACATACTACTAAGGCATGTATGAGTGTGATGATGATGATGATGATGAGGAGGAGGAGGATGAGGACGATGAGGATGAGGATGATGACGATGACGACGATGATGACGGCGACGATGATGACGATGACGATGATGACGATGTTGGTCATCATATTATTTTAGCAATCATAATATCATGTTTTCCGGCGATGGATGATATCATTAATGGGACGATCATAATTTTCCGATGCAACCATATTAGAAGGCTATGGCTATAGCTGCTATAGCGACCGGGATATCCCAGCTTGCCATGGAGTTGATTCGCCTTGGTGATGGCTTTATTGCTGGGATGCATGGAATATCATCGGATATGTCATTCATGGGAAATAGATGGGCAATGTTTTAAAAAAAGACTTGGGAGCAGCCTTGGTTTTACGAAACTCATTACTGTAACGTACTGTAACTACAACTATATCGACCATTTTTTCGCCCTACTTACCCTCTGGTAATTTAACATAGCTATTGAAAATGGCCATTTATAGTGGATTTTCCCATTGAAAATGGTGATTTTCCATTGCTATGTTAGTTCACCAGAGGGTAACCGACTTAGAACCAACTTAGGATCTGAGGCAACCATCGGGCTTGCTGAAGGTTGGTAGGAAGGTTCTCCATGTCTCTGGTGACATCCCCATTCTGAAAACATTGAAATGCTGTGTTCTTTGCAAACATATGAGATATATTATTAATCCTTCATGATCTATTATATAATATATCATTGATACTCTATATATACACAGATGTTTGTAATATATCATTGATACTATTTGTATATATATACATATATATATACACGTTTGTCTCTGTTTATTTCCAGTGAACAGTCTCTATTTACACGGAGCTGCAGGTCACCTTTTGCTTGGAAACGATCAAGGGCAAGCGTGCCATGGCGTTGACTGACCAACCGCGTCCTTTTTGATGGGTTGGGGGCTGGTGAAAGTTGGTGAAAGTTGGTGAACATGAGAGAATTTACCATCATTTACCCAAAAAACGGGATTTGTTTTCACCAACTAATTCAAATCTGGTTGTTGGTTTGGAACATTTGGATTATTTTTCCATATATTGGGAATAATAATCCCAACTGTTACTCACTCATATTTTTCAGAGGGGTAGGGCTCAACCACCAAAAATGCTATGGCCAAGAGCTATTCCCCTGTTGAAACCGTCGTCAACATGGCCCTCGAGAGATCGTTTAGGTCGCGAACCATCCTGGACCGTGGAGCGGTCAATGGACATTTCAGGATCCAATTGATGGAGCTACGTTAGTACCAAATTTTTGGCCATATGAATCGTGTGGATATTCCCTCACATAGCCCTCTTATATAGGCCTTATATATCTGGTTGGTGGTTTGGAACATTTTTTATTTTCCATTTCATATATGGGATGTTATGCTTCCCATTGACGAACTCATATTTTTCAAGATGGTTATTGCACCACCATCCAGATATGGTAGGTAGCTCCAATGAAATGGTTTCTCAAATAGCCATTGAACTCAGGTAGCTTCACATTCATCTCCGTCTTGGCTGTTTCGCCGCTCGGACATCTGGAAGAAAACCCGGCAAGAACTCGCCACATCCCATTGGACGAAAGGATGGAATTCACCACTTCCAAGTCTTTGTTGGTGTTGGTTAAATCATGTTTTTGATGCTGAACTCCATAGTTTTTTATAGTTTTTTCATGTTTGCTTAAATGATATCATAGTTTTGATGATTGCTTATATGGTCATATTATGTTAAATGGCTCATAAATTCTTTGAGCTCGAGCTGATATGAGATGGTGAGACCAATTTTATTCGAAGTTTTTTCCCCACTGGGGGACATATTTGAAAGAGGGTCAATTACCTGTGAATGTTTTCGTAATAACGGTCCACTAGGAGTATGCTTTCAACTAGTCAACAGCTAGACCGTAGTTAGGGCCCTTATTTGGTTATTTGGACCCTTATTATTTATTGGCCCCCAAAAAATCATTATATCCCTTTTCCATGGTGTAGGTCAAAACCCTGGTACAGCCGTACCCTTTCGTGCTTTCGTTCACAGCAAAATCTGGAGGTTTCTTAAGATGGATGATCCCCAAGTCATAGGTGCCATAGGTTTCAATACTAAAATGGTCGAATTCGACTTGGGGATACCCCCCATGACTGAGGAAAGCTCCATGTTTGGGATGTATGGATCCATCTGTGATAATTCAGAAGGTTGCTGGATTCAGATTGATTCTGTTTGCCCGTTGAAAATCCTGAAGAGAATCGATCCCTGAATACATGCTATATTCTACCCCGATATTATCTTCATTTGCAATGCGGTGCCCCAGTTCCTTTGCTAAGATGCTTTCTAACTCTAAGACCTATGGTTTATGGTAGATATATGATGTTATATGATGTTATATGATGTTAGATGATGTTAGATGATGTTATATGTAGAGATATCTATACTTCATGGGAATTATAAGAAAACTTACAAGTGAAGGGGGGACACCAGCCCATGGTTTTCACTAAGTTAGGGCACCAGGGGGGTCCACCAGAACCTGGGGTCTTCCTGCAGGTTGGTCTGTGCCGGGAGCGTCTGTTGCGTGCGCGGTGAACCGCAAGCCTCCCTGGCAGCCTTCCTCCTGGCCGCAGTGAGTGCCATGCTGCGGTCCGCGCGAGGCAGGTCGGTACCCGGTCACCCCGTGGGCGGGAGGACCAACTTTTGCCATTGGGAACTTCGTTGATCTCCAAGAGGGGTTATTGATGGTTATTGTTTGTAATGTGGTTCAATGAATGTCATTTTTACCACCCCATTTTCGATGGTAAATCACCACCCATAAAAATGGTGATTACATTTTATGTTTGTATACTATCATCCTTGTGTCAAAGGATGTTGTTTTCCGTTTGATTGATTCAATAACCAAAATCACACCGCGTTTTCAAGGAACAATTCTTGGATCCCGCAGGCTAGTAGTCATAGTTGGCCACTTGTATGTACTATAAGTGGCTATAAGCTACTACTATAAGCCACAAAATGGAGACTTACTACTTTGATGATCTTTGATGTGCATCCCGCTTAGGATCAGGATCCATGGTTTTATAATCCACATATGATCCCATATACAAATGGAGATATTCCATTGATCTAACTGTTTTTTTTGGACCCATTGACTAAGTGGGGCCCCCACCACGGAACCAGACTCAACTACGTCCCAGGCTTCGTCCGTCCCTCTTCGTCAGGTGTGTGGCAACACGAGTTGGTGTCGGTCAGCCCAAAGCCGTTGCACTTGGTCTTTTGGAAACTTGGGCACGACGCGTCGTGGGTGACTGGATCAACCGGCAGAAAATGGCTAGTGACCAATCCTGAATATTTTCTAGAGTTTTTGTTTCTGCGATTTTCATAGGAATATCATGGAATATCAAGGAATATCATGGAATATCTACTAACATTTAATATCATATCATGGAATTGTCATAGGAATATCATAGATAAACATGTAGTTTTTTTGCAGGGTATCTAAAGCTGGCGATCTGATCATAAAAAAATGAGGACCCCATATCCCAACTTTCCTGGTGCTGAAAAAGTCCCATAGGCCCATAGCCATCGGGGAATACACCATCGGGATGCAAAAAAGGGGTTGAATTGGGATATGATATATATATATATCTGGGTAAATTATAACGACCTCACTGCTCTCCCTCACTGGGAATGATGGTTAGTAAGGGAAATCATCGCATTTTGGCCTTAATTCAGGTTGGTGAAATATGATAATTTACCCAGATATATATATATATATACAGGATATGAAAAGGGGATGAAAATAGGTTATAGTGAGCCGTGAGCTAAAATTGTAGTTGAAGGTCCATCAAGATTTCTGATGATGACAGCACTCTGCTTCATCGGTTTTTTTTTGACCCACTCAACTGGTAGTAGGGGGCAATCACTTGCCAGTTCGTCCTCGCAAAAAATGACCAACTATCATGACTGGTCATGGGTAGCTTTCGGCAGCATTTTTCAATGCAAAATGGGGAGAGAGAGCCCGAAAACACCAGAGGGAGTTTTGGCTATGGATCAATACCTATACATACCATTTTTACGGGGATGAACATCCATTTACCAGCTATTTTGATGTGAACTACAGGGGTACAAGGTTTTGACACACTGCCATATTTGTGTAAACCAGAGACGGATGGGATTTTACTGGGGCTTGTCTCACCACAAGTGATAAATCACTGGGGTTAGCCTTCGTCAACTCATGACAACCCTGGTGAGTTGGGTAAGGATTTAACCAGCAAGCGGTGAAAACTGTCATCAGCTCAGTGGAAAATCCCAAAACCGTGCGGTGGTGCCCCCTAGTTCGATAGCCTTCAGTTGGGGTTCACATAATCCCATTTTCACTATGGTTTTTGTTGGTGATATAGGTGATATATCGAACTAGTATTCATGGGGTTTATGAACCAATAAACATAACGTTTGGGGGGGCACCACCTTGTATGAATAGAGATGTCGTCGGGAAAAACCAGCGGCACGGAGGATTTTCCAGCCACGGAGCTGATGACATTGGAGGGTAGAGTTGATCCTACAAGGTGGTGCCCCAGTTCGTTAGCTAAGTTGGTTTATAACTCCCATTTCACTATGGGTTTATGGCAGATATAACTATACTTAATGGGGTTTATAAACCAACTTATAACTGGAGGGCACCATCCTGTAGTATGCTGAAGCCTCTGGCAAGCATGGCACAAGCTGGAACATGTTCCAGACATAGTTCGTTGATGTTCCTGTTGCAGATTTGAATACATATTTACATAAATCATCTACCAGAAATACAACCAAAAGACCAACAATGTGCTGACAAGTAATCCTAACGTTGTGCTAGATTACTGTTCTATTTTTTTGGAAGTTACTGTCGTCATTGGTGTCTGGTTGGTGGTTTGGAACATTTTTTATTTTCCCATATATTGGGAATGTCATCATCCCAACTGACGAACTCATATTTTTTCAGAGGGGTAGGGCTCAACCACCAACCAGCTGTCATTGGTGTAGCTTGGGACCTTACTTAGTGATGGCCCTGCTGTTTTGATGTCCTGAAGAATCAGGTCATCAAATATGGCTGAAAAAAAAGATAGTAAATTATCGTTTTAATGAGGAACACACAAGATACATACCTTCTGTTAATTTAACATAGCTATTGAACATTGCCATTTAGTTCGTTGATTTACCATGATTTACCATGACAAATGCTGATTTTTCATAGTTATGTAACAGTTTACCAGGTAAATTATTGATTTTCCAAACGCCATGTTGGATTACCGGGTCAGTATGATGAACCAGTAGAGTAGTTCGATTGCGGGTTCAAAGTTCAAACCAACAGCTTGAAGGCCATCCCTTCACAACGTTTTGTGATAGCAACGTTTTTGAATCCTCAAGTTGCTTCCAAAAATCAGCCGGGTGATGTCCAATACAAAAATGGGTCAACCTTGCTTAGGTACGAACCAGTACTTTAATCTTTTGCGAATTCAGTGGTAAAATGCACTAACCAACTAAAAGATCGTTTTTGTTGACAGGTATCTAAGATTCATCATGGGAAGAATGAACCGAATTTTTCCAACCGTGACTCGTCGAGCCACCAAACCAACACGACCATGGAATTACCCTCTGGTTATGACTAACCTAGCTATTGAAAACCTATTGCAAACGGTGATTTTCCATGGCTATGTTAGTCATAACCAGAGGGTATATATTATAACAATGTGGTATAAATGGCATCTATCTTATACATCATCTAAAGTTACATTTTTTCAGAATTTTGAAGAGGAGAATCCTGGAGACAAACGGAAACTCCGTGTTTACGCTGCGTAAACGTACGCTGGTCGTTGGAGTCAATATGTTCAACACTAGAAATGGTATGATGTTCTCCCCATGACCATATTTTTCAGGGATGTGCTGTTTTTAACCACCAGCCACCAGCCACAAAACCTTTGAAGTCTAAAAAAGCCTCTAAAATCCATAAAATCATATAAAATCCGATCAATCATTTTCCCATGAAATCCCATTGGTGTTTCTAGTTTACCCTCTGGTGAACTAACATAGCAATGGAAAATGGCCATAGAAATAGTGGATTTTCCCATGAAAAATGGGTGGATCTTTCCATTGCTATGTTAGTTCACCAGAGGGTAAACCCAACTGTTTCTTGAGAGTTTTGTGAAGTAACTGTCCATCGCAGTTCTGCGAAAGTCGTCAGCGAGGAATGGCTTGTGGTCTTTGGTCATCACCCTGATCACCATGGTCTTTAGATCCTTAGAGAAAAGCCTGGGAAAAAACAGCGGTTCATCCCGCGGAAGTGCTTAGGAACCCTTAGTTTGGAGATGGTTTCCTAAGAATGTTATGAAGGTTTCCGAAAACAATGGTGGATCCCTAAAACCATAGAGTTTCAATGCTAAAATGGTCGAATTTTGGATGATTTCCATATATTTTTTTGTCTCTGTGTGTGTGTGTGTCCATGTCCATATCTTTAGCAAATCACGTCTATCCAATCAAGACTTTTGCGCGCTATAAACAATTGATGTGGATGGGATAGCCACGGATATCCCACTTGGGCGGAGTTTCGAAGCATGATTGCTTGGCTCATCCGACTTCGTAAGTGGCTTCGTTCATCCCAGTCAATTCTGTAGTAGGGCTAGTCCAGTTGCAATTCGGGTGAGCCAAGCCACTTCTTACGAACTGGGATGAACCACTCAATGAACCAGCAAGTAGGCATAACCCATGGGATAACGCAGTTCTGGGACCTCCAAGAATGCCCAATTGCCCCAGTTGAAGCCAGAACTCAGATATAAATGGGGAGAACATGACATGGGATAACTGGTAAAATTGCTTATGAATGCTTATACAAGATGGTTCCCCCAGTTGTTTGTTTGTTTTGTTTCACCCATCTAACTCCGTATATGTTTATGTATGCATATATGTCTACCATGAAGCCAACAGTTAAGCTAGTGAAATGTCACCAACTTAGAAAAGGATTGGAGGCACCCCATTGTATGAACAACAATTTGGTGCTTTTTGTGGACACAACATGCATTTGACTGGGAAAATGTGGATTTTACAAAAGGCCAATCCTTGTGACTGGGGAAATTTAGGCATCAAAGTGATGTGGTTTTAACCAAGCAACACAGGAGTTTGACCAACAAATTTTGGTAGATAGTGAATAGTTGCTGAACCAAGAAACTAGGATTGATTTGATGGGATGCTTTTTACATGGAGTAATATGCAGCTTGAGCGACAATTATTTATAAGTGTGTCGCAGGATTCAGGATGTCCAAGATTGACCATGTAACTAAGTCAATCGTAGATGGGTAGAAACTAATCCTGAATAGTCTTTTGGTATCTAGCTGGGAATATCCACTAACTAACCAGCAAATAATTTGTCATTTTTTGCAGGGTATCTGGCAGATTGCTAATGGTAACATCAACCAACAGATGGGCTCTAAAAATCCTCGAAAAGCGATGTTCCTGCTCCATGTTCCTAATCAGAGTATCAATGGGAATCAAAAAGGATCCTAAAATGGAGGTACCTACCATATATATAAGGCCTATTTGTCAGGCCTATGTAAGTGAATATCGCCACAATTCATATGGCCAGAAATATGGTACGTTTACGTACCTCCATCAATTGGATCCTGGAGATCTCCCATTGAGAGTAGGGATGATTTCTGGTCCATTTCTGGAACAAAATTTAGACTTGTAATTGGATGAGGTAATCATACAAGATCATGACAGTATTGGTTAAACATAACTAGGACCTTAGGACTAGGAGAAATTTTCTGGGTCCATTGGTATATATATATATGATTATATATGATTATATAATATTATATATATATATGTATATGCCATTTTTGAACCAATTTCCATATTTTGTCCCATGCTAGCTTTCCCTTTCAATGATCATTGAAACATAGGATCATCAACCATGATATTTTTGTGGTACCATATTTTTAGAGCAGCCATATTTGCCCACAGACATGGTGAAGATTTTCATGTTCCCACCATGGGTTTTCCTCAATTTTGTATACTCTTTCGCATTTTTTCCACTGGTTGGTGGTTTGGAACATGGCTTTGATTTTTCCATATATTGGGAATTTCATCATCCCAACTGACGAACTCATATTTTTCAAAGGGATTGAAACCACCAACCAGTCCAAAGAGATGAATTCCAATATCTTCGATGTACAATGTACCCTCTGGTAATTTAACGTAGCTATGGAAAATCACCATTTTTCATGGGTAAATCGGTAAATCCATTAAACATCACCATTTTCAATAGCTATGTTAAATTACCAGAGGGTACATGATTTTCGCGTTTCCCAGGCTGTATTACCATGATTTCCCCATAAGTTTCCCACAGATCATTGCCCTTTAGCTCCTCCCAGATGTTGTCCTGGATCGTGTTTCCCCAATATTTTCGAAGAGGTCAAATAGATTATTTGTTCCCCAAGAATATGGATTATGGTCAAAGATGTTTCAAGATGTTCAACCATTTTGCCAGATTTTATGGATGATGTGTGAAAAGTTGTCCAATATGTTCCATTGAAATGGCCATGGTTTTAATGGATATAGCCCATTTTCAGGTCCACATCTTGCCCAAATTTCCACAAATCACCGGTGGAACATGGTTTTTTCGCATTGAAAGGTGAGGGTTTGGCCGGTATCCGCAGCTTGAGTGGTGCATCCACGGAAGCTTGGGCAGCGGTTGGTGGATGAGTTCGTTACAACATATGTTTATTTTAGCATCAAAATATGGGGCCGGGGATAGTGGAAATAGCTGATTACTAGGTCAATCGACTGGATGGGTAGAAACTAATCCTCAATAGTCTTTTGGTATCAATGGGAATATCCACGTTCACCAGCAAAGAATTTAATTTTTGGCAGGGGATCTAAGACTGGCAATGATTAAAATAGCTGATTATAATAGCTGATAAATGATGGTTGGATGGTTGATGATTGGTTCGGGGACTATACTACCCAATATATTGGTGATGTCAGAATCCACAGGGAATCCCGTTCTTAACCAACCAGGATTTCATGGAATGATATTTCGGGAGTGAACGGCCTGTCGCAGTGGGGAAATCCAGTTTTTCAGGGCCACAAAATGGCGGCAAAATGGCTCATTTTGACGAATACTCTTATTCTCTGCCTGTTGTTTTTTACTAAAGTGGGCAAAACAATGCCATGTTTACCATCCCCCAGTCATCATTTTTTTTTTAAAAGGTGGTACGGAAATCCCATTCCCAGTCATGGGTGGTAAAAATTGCATTGCTTTACCCACATTATTGCTTTTGAACAAAATACCTTGGGTAATGTTTTTTGGGAATCCAGTAGACTAACAGCAAACGATGTGGAAGCCATGGCCAACTCTTGTTCGATGCTTTAGCTATTATTTCAATGGTCATTTTCCATGGCTATTTATCATTTATAGATGATTTACCTATGACAAAGTGTCATTTTCCATGGCTATGTATGACAAAAAGTATCATTTCTGGAAGATTTACCTATGACATTTCAATGGTCATTTTCGATAGCAAACTGTTAGTTTATCATAGGGTTCTGGTTACGCCATGGCCCATCTAGTTCGATGATACAGCTCCAGAGGGTCTGTGGATTGTCATCCCCATCCATCCGGATGGGTAGAAACTCATCCTGGATCGTTTTTTGCGAACTAAATGGAACATATTCATTTATTTTGCGAACTATCACCAGCAACATGTGATTTATAATGATGTATATCATTATGTAACTATGTATTTTGCTGGTGATTTAAGAGAACATTATGTTGAACATTATTTTTTATAGCATTATGTAACTATATCATTATGTTCAGGCAAATCTCCAAACATACTTACAGGATATGGCCACCCAGTTATGTTTGGTGGTTTACAACCCCCATTGAGTATAGTAGTATAGTTATCTACAGTTATATCTACCATAAACCATGGAATTCAGCCACTTATATCTCAACTGAACGCTATCTTGGAGCCCCATCCTGTAGAAAATGGTCATAGAAATAGCTGTTTTACCCATAAGAAAATGGTGGTTTTCTCATAGTTTTTGGGTATGTTTACTATGGAAACCCTCATAGTCCGCAAAAAAAAACACATACAAAACATGATTAATGAGAATTTCAGGATCCTAAAATGGAGCTACTGTACCATATTTCTGGCCACATTTTGTGGGCATATTCCCGTATAAATCAACCATCAATAGCAACTATTAGCCCATTGTTTGATCACCAACAGATGATAATTTTGATGAAGTGGACTCTTAAGGATTGACCACCGTCCACTGAGGAGGCGAAGGTGGCACTCGTTTGCTCCATTGTGGCAGTGCCGTGTCGGGTCAAAGGGGTCGTTGGTATTTAAGTTGTTGGTATCTATGTATCATAATGATATCATTATATAGTATATATATAATATGATTCATGATCATATATATATATAAAGATTGTGTGTATATATATAATGATCAATGATATAAAAAGACTCAATATACATAATGACCACTGATATACAAACATATTATTTGTAGAATGGTCAATGATATAAAAAGATTGTATATATATATACAATGATCAATGATATAAACATATTATATATATAATGATCAATGATATATATACATATATAATAGTACTAGTAACAATAATCATGATTATAACAATAATGATATATAATAATATGATATATTCCCTTATTTGGGGGTTTCCGTAACTGGGGGAGAACCCTAATCTATCGATGGCTTATCATGGAAAAGCCGGAAATCCGCAAATAACATGGATGATTTAGAGGTACTATTTTAGGAAGCCTCCGTTTATTTGTTTTTGGTATCTATCAAAATTATATCTGCATCTATATACCAAATAATATCAAATAATCATGATAACACACAATGAGTAATACAGTCATATAATGCATAATATAAACATAAGATATCCTTTGTATAATGATTTAACGATTGATTATAAAATATTATATAATAACAATGATAATAACAGTATTTGAGATACTACACAAAGGAAATTGTAAGGGATATGTATTGGAATGCATTATAGGTCGTTGCCATTTGTATAGATGACAAAATTTGAGCAATGTTCAAAAACCCTTTGATGTGGTTGGGATGTGGGATGTTTTATTGGCATAAAGTAAGTTTTTTTTTTCAGGGAACGATAACAATATGGCCAGGTTTCAGCCATGAAGCACCAAGTACCATCGAAGCATTTTCGAAGATGACCGTACTTAGAAGATCCCACGGGGATAGCCCTGGATTGGGGGGCTTACCAAGCGTTACTTGCTGGCTCATTCATGCTAGTAAACCAGTAAGTCAGTTTGTTCACCCCAGATATTTTTGTACAAGGTGGTGCCCCAGTGTTCGCTAAATCGCGACCTAAGTTGGGGTTCACATAATTCCAATTGAAAACGTTTGGGTAAACATGGTAGATATACCGAACTACTTTTCACGTTTTTTTTTAAACCAACATAGCCATCCCTTTGGGGGGCACCACCTTTTTTCGGTGAAGTATGGCAACCTGCACCAGTTGGGATCGTTGGGATGGTGCCCCCCGTTGTGACCGGTGATGGCTTTGTTGGTTTATGTTATTAAAATCCCATGAATACGTTTGTTCGTTACCCGGCCTGGTAAACATACAAAAAACTATTGAAGCTATTGAAGCCATGGCCATAGAAATCGTGGATTTACCATGATTTACCCATTAATAGCATGGTGATTTTCCATAGTTATGTGACAGTTTACCAGAGGGTATATCTACCATAAACCATAGAATATCATAGAATTAAACCACTAATCTTTGGCAGAATGCGAGCTCGACTGGGTTTTCCCAATGTTAAGGGAAATTGAACCTTGTCTGCGTCTTCTGTGGTAACATATTTGGTGAAAAAATGTGAAAAATTGGACATCGATGAAACACCTATAGGATACCATAGGATACCATATTCAGTGGGTAGATTGTTAGTTGGATGTCCTATTTCTAAATATGGTATCCATTTAAGGTGTTGATTCAGCCTTTTCTTGGTGCCATGTTCAAGAGTTTCATTATATAACGTTAATGCGTTAATATATCATATTTTTCGAGATGGTCATCAGTCCATGTTTCATAGGGAACCATTTACACTTTTGGTATGTGAAATTCAATTGTGTGATGACCATGTTTGAACTGCGGCAGACATGGGTTGTAAACCACTACCCTTTGGTAAACTAACATAACATTTGGTAAACTATTATATATACTTGATTTACCTATTATTTAAGATGGTGATTTTCCAGTATTTATAGTTGATTTACCCATTAAAAATGGTGATGTTCCAGTTCGTTAACTCTGAACGTTTACCAGGCGAAGTGATATTGACTTTCCCTAAACCCAGTGGTGAATCGGAAGTTTCCGAAGTAGCCATCCGCTAAACATCGCCAGTTTGCGAACTTGAACATCGCCCAGTCGAAATCGTGGATTTTCCCATGAAAAATGGATAAACATGGTAGATTTAAGTCCATCGTTTTTTGTATATGTTTATAGTGAGTTTTCCCATTTAAAATGGTGGATCTTTCCATAGTTTTCTGTATGTTTACCAGAGGGTAGCCATCATTGAGGGTACATCCAACTACTTGGTGAGGCGGTGCTGCTGAACATCACCCAATGGTATGCTATGAAAACCTTGGGCGCGTTGAAGCTGAGCTGTGCGTTCAGTGAGGGACCCCGGGAGGGTTGTTTTTAGTGAGCCGCAAAGTTTATTCAGGGACTTAAGCAGCAACATATTCTGTTTGGTGGTTTGGAACCATGGCTTTTTAATGGGATAATGATGGTTAATGATGGTTAATCATGGTTAATAATGGTTAATAATCACTGGTTGATGGTTTGGAACATGAATTTTATGACTTTTCCATATATTGGGAATAGTAACCCCAACTGACGAACTCATATTCTTCAGGGGGGTAGGGCTCAACCACCAACCAGTATTGATTGAAGCAACAGACATTGGGATTTATATACATAGATGTAATAGATGTCCCAAATTCCCATTGGTTGATTGATGAAAATAGAACGGTTTGAATAAACCCCTTTGTTACAACAGGTTTCTATGATGATAGATGGGATTAACCAGCTCCCGGCCCCTCTATTTTTACCAAAAGGACATTATTGATTGTTTATATATGTATGATACGTATGATATTTGTAAGTTGATTTACTAAACTCATATGACTGGGACGATAAATCTATGGTGGGATGGATCTCGGCCGCATGGGGACTCCGCTTTTCACGACGGATTCTCCAACGGAAGAATACTGTTGGTTTGGTAAAGCACTCGTGAAGCATCCCCGTTTAAACGTTCCATAAGACATGGGTGCTACCCTCTGGTAAACATAGAAAAAACAATGGACAGATCCACCATTTTTAATTTTTTAATGGGAAAACTCACTATTTCTATGGGCCATGTTCAATAGCTATGTTAAATCACCAGAGGGTATAAACCATCAAAATATGGGGTTTGTTGTTGTTAACATTAACGCAGATAGGATGATAGGTATCTTTTTCAGGATCAACAGTTTCAGGGAAGCAACAAGCTGCAACTGGCAGCTGGCACCAGGGGTAGTTTTCCTGGGGAGCTCCTGTAGTCAGATCCCTTGGTTTATTGTCCCAATTATTCATGGTTTCACCCCCTAAATCCACAATGGTTTCTTGGGGGGTTGTTTCAACGGGTGAAGTGATTACACATCATATCAACTATGAATGGATTGAATTGCCATTATTCACCATTAATAGCCACTATTAACCACTATTAGCCATGAATATTCGGTTTCCTGAGGGTTTACGGTTACACTAACGGTTACACCTTTGCGCCAACGCGGCTGAGCCTGAGCTACCAGAAGGTTACCAACTACAAACAATGATCGATTTTTCGAAAATACATCGCCACTAAAGATAATTGTGTGTAAGATTGCCAAAAAAAACATACTTCTGGGTAGCGGACCGGATTGAACTTTCTTCCATCCACAGTATCAAGTCACATTCCCATGTTAGTGTTTTTTCTAGCCATGGAACTGATGGAGTTTCAAAATGTTCAAAGGCAAAGATGTCCTGCGAAGTGACTGTTACCCTCTGGTTATTTAACATAGCCATGGAAAATGGCCCATTTATAGATGATTTTCCCATTGAAACCTCCATTTATGGTTGGGATTTTCCATGGCTATGTTAAATAACCAGATGGTAGTTCCCATTAAAAATCCTTCTCGGATATCGGATACGGCTGTCATGAGTTAAACTGGGAGATATCGTCCCATGCCATCCAAAACGCCCATGGCCATGTTTGTTCCATTCCAGTTCCCTACTCGCTTTCTGTTTCTTAAGTGTTCCAGTTATCCATTCTTGGTCCCATGCTTCTGTAGAGAGCATCCCAATGAAAAAATAAGTGATTCATACACTGTTAATGATATATATATATATACCCTCTGGTAAATTAACATATAGACCCTGGCATTCATCGGGGTTGGAAGACTAGTTTCCATTAAAAATGGGTGATTTTCAGGGTCGAACTGTTAATTTACTGAAGGGTATATATAATTATATGATATAGTTCAATATACCCATAGTATAATATAAACATCTAACAGAATCTAACATGTTAATACCCATAGTATAACCAATGTATAACCTAGTTAGATCTAGTTTCATGGGTCTCCTCAACGGCCCTCCCCCAAAAAACCCTGGGTTTTTCGATTCGTAGGTTCCAGGTCTGGCTCCCACGAATGTGAAGTAGGCTCCCCCTGGTTTTGATTAGTGGGAGAAGTAGAGATCATCCACTTATGAGTATTGTTAGTGGGTTAGTATCATTACTTGTTTTATCTGTTATAACCTGTCATAACCTACTTAAGAATACTTAAGATTCCTGGGATGAGCCACACTTCGTATCAGTCAGATCCCGATGTTTGATTAGAGGATCATCCCGCAGCTAGTTTTTGGCAGTGGCTTATCACCCGAGCTGTAACTGAGCAAACCCTATCATTGACCATACTTAGACTTAAGCTATATTTGTTCAGCTACTTCGATCTATGGTGGTTTAACCATAAATATGGGGGTACCTGGGTACCCCCAAATCATCGAAGCCATGTTGTTTTCGGATCCATGGTAAACCATCCAGCAGCTATGGGATCGCAGCACTTGTCGAACCATGTGATCAACTCCGCAGGGACGTTCGATTCGGATCAACTTGGGGGATTTCTTGCGACATTTTTTTCGTGTGAAACATGAGGAGCTGATGTGTTTAAGCGTGCGTTTTTTTGGGCGATGTTTTTTTCGCGAAATTTATGGAACACGCGAAGTGGAAAAAAACGCGAATTGTGTTGAAGCTCGGGACATCAAAAATATAAAATCGAAGTGAGTCGCTCTGCAAAAATCGCTCAGAGCCAACCACTTACCCCACAGGGATCTAGTTTGACCAAAGATTCACCAGAGTTCACCGACGCTACGTACGCTTCACCCAGGATGTCCAGTATTGTGGGAAATTTGAATCTGGTGCTGGTGATTGCTTTGTCCACTGCATGGCTTCACGAGCTCGTGACCCCTTCGCAGACGCTTGGATATCTTGGATTGGAGACGGCATTGGATGATTTGGGGTACATAGACCATGGAGAAAGGATGATTTGGGGAGTTCTTAAAATGGGGGATCCCCAAGTCACCATGTTCAATATGTTTCCATCATCAAATGGCAATTGTTTGGGGATGAAATCAGGAGGATAACCCCCATTTTTTCGGAAACTTCCACTGTGAGGTCCCATCATTGCACAGTCCCATGGAGAAGTCTGGAGATTTGTGAAGGTGATTTGAAGGGTTTTTTTTGATACCTTGGTGGCAACTCAAGGTATCCCCTGGTGGTTAGTTTAAGTTTGAGTTTTTTGAGTGGGTTATGTAATATATGGATAATATATGGATATGTACGGTACATCCATCTCCGAAAAACACTGAGTTTTTCAGTGTGTAGCAATCCATCGGATGCTAAAATATGGGCGAAATTGTCAAGTGGTGATCGTGACAGGAACCCTATTCAAGAGGATCTTGCCGGCGCTTGTCGGCCGGCAAATCTGTATCATTCGTAGAGACATGAAATTTGTTTGGCCCACCAACTTCCACCGACCTCTTTGCCATGAAATTAAAAGAGGGTGTGCTGGAGGTGAGCTGTTGTTCCCGGCAAATCCTTGAGAAATGTGTCCATGTACTGTCTGGTAATTTAACATAGCTATTGAAAATGGCCATTTCTAGTTGATTTACCCATTAACAATGGTTATTTTCCATACGGTAAAGACATTTAAATATGTGGAGGGCGGGCCAGACCGCGAGGCCCTGGAGGTAGTATGCAATACCAGTTCGTATATTTAAATGTAAATACCGTACGTTTAAATGAAATGGCTTCTGTATGTTTAAATGGCCGGGCGGGCCAAGGAAAGCCTTCCCGGAGGTAGTCTAAAATACCTGCTCGTATATTTAAAAGTCCGTATATTTAAATGTAGTTACCGTAGTTATGCTAGTTTACCAGAGGGTATGTCCTGGAAGTTTGTATGAAACATTGACATGAATGTAATTGGTCCAATTAGTGGCTTAGTTCAGTGTGTCCAAGTCTGTCATGATCTCCCAAAAAAAGGTGAATTGTGTGCAGCATGGCGGAATAGAAGTATTTGACCAAGATAAGTATGACACATGACACCCTTTGCTACTCTAACAGAACACTTTGCTCTGGAGAATGGCCATGTTTGAAAAAGTAAATCGTCTATAAATGGCATCAAATTGCCAACTTTTCCGTGTAAAATTTGCTTGCAGCATATTTTAAGATGATATTTTTAAGAACCAATTTCTGTTCCACTAGCTGAGACTAGTGAATAGTTGGTGCTGACACCTGCAACGCGAGACTCAGTGCAACTAAGGTACGTTGGAGTGGCCTTGCTTTGCGCAGGAACCTTTGGAAATAAAGTTCAAGATGTGCTGAAGACGCTCGGTTTTCACGGTAGAGGTGACCATGTTTTTTTTCGGCGCAGAGCGAATTGGCATGAAATAGGCTAGGTATGGGTCAGCTGGATGCCATGCACTTTCTGGATTGATAGGTATGGACTCAATCTTGGATGGCTAGAAACTAATCCTTTAGTCTTTTGGTGTCTTTTGGTATCAATGGGATTATCTACTAACCAAATCTAACCAATCTAACCAGCTAAGAATTTGTCAATTTTTTGGTATCTAAGATTGGCAATGTGGATAGGTATGGATAGGTATGGATAGGTATGGAGGTTTCCTAAGTCTCCTTGGGGCTACCCGAAATCATCATCCAGTTGTCAATGACCAAAGTTGCCAACCTTGATGATTTCGGGTGGAACCATAGATGCAGATCTCGGCGCCTATTATGGGGACCGAAAATTGGGATTCATCCAGTGTGTACCCGAAAATGGGGTTAATAATGGTGATTAATCCACAATTCATGGTGATTAATGGTGATTAATGGTGATTAATGGTGATTAATGGTGATTAATGGTGATTAATGGTGATTATATAATGGTGATTAATGGTGATTATATAATGGTGATTAATGGTGATTATATAATGGTGATTAATGGTGATTAATGGTGATTAATGGTGATTAATGGTGATTAATGGTGATTAATGGTGATTAATGGTGATTAATGGTGATTAATGGTGATTAATGGTGATTAATGGTGATTAATGGTGATTTCTTTGAGAACCAACTAGTAACCATAGAATTAACCCTTATCTAGGTTAACCAACTGGATGGGTACAAACTCATCCTGAATCGTCTGTTGGGATGAGATTATCTACTAACTCACCAGCTAAGAATTTATCATCAATTTTTGTGTATCTGGCTGATTGGTAATGCTAAGCTTATACGGTAAAACATGGCAAAACTATAGTTTTTTGCATGGAATCTATTTCATGAATTTCATCTGGTTGGTGGTTTGGAACATGTTTTATTTTCCATATAATATATGGGATGTCATCCGAAACCCATTGACGAACTCCATCATTTTTCAAGATGGTTATTGCACCACCAACCAGTCATGATATCTAAGATATCTGGCTGATTGGTCATGGGATGTCGCAGGGCCAAGGTCGCCTCCAGTCGACCAGGAGTTTGGCGCCCCGAAGTTATACACATGGCTGCCAGGTAGGAGGATCATCCCACGTAAACCCGGCCTGGTAAATATACAAAAAGCTATTGAAGCCATGGCCCAGTGGAAATAGTGGATTTACCCATTAGCATGGTGATTTTCCCATCCGTTTTTTGTATGTTTGCCAGGCCGGGTAGTAAGTCTAAGTGGTTAGTAACCCGGGGTCTACTCCGCAAGTTGTCCGGGTCTCATGCGGAGGACTATCCCATCGATGAACGAACTATGGTTATCATGGTGAATCTGTGGTACAAGGTGGTGCCCCCCAAACGTTATGTTTATTGGTTTATAAACCCCATGAATACATATGAATACTATAGATATATCACCAACAAAAACCATAGTGAAATTGGAGTTATAAACCAACTGAACGCTATCGAGGGGGCACCACCTTGTAGGTATATGACCATATAGAAACTACGGCTGTTTTCAAGGACCTTCACATGTTTCAGGCAAACAGGGGCGCGCCTCAACCTCAGGGCTTTGGAAATGTGCTAAGTCTGCTAAGTTTTCACATCCAACTCTTGGTCTACAACTTGGGTACCCTCTGGTAATTTAACATAGCTATTGAAAATGGTGATTCATAGTGGATTTACCCATTGAAAATGGTGATTTTCCATAGCTATGTTAGTTTACCAGAGGGTACTTCAATTGATGTTCAAAATTCCCCAAGTTTCGGGACCATTCTGTGTCGGTTTTATTCGGAAAAAAAACAGCTGAAATCATCCCCAAGAAACTTGGCTTCGACAGCACTGGGCGTCTCAGTTTCTCCCGGATGGGATTTATAGCCTCTGGTTATGACTAACATAGCCATGGTTAAGTTCCATGGCCCTAATCGAAATAGATGAGATTTTCCCAGCGAACGAAACCTCCATTTATGGGCCAGGGATTTTCCATGGCTATGTTAAATAACCAGATGATCAGATGGTACATTGTCCGGTTAGACACTTTTCTAGCTGGGAAATCCCCAGAAATCCACTTTTTTATCAGACTGGGTTTCATCACGACCGGGTCGCCTGTTCTCCACCCTGGAAGTCATGGGAATTGGATTCGGGAAATCATCCCCGAAATTATGGCCGCAAGATTCAGGGTAGTGAAATATTATAATTTACCCAGATATACATATATATATATATATAATTATACGGAACATATGGGAAAACCATCGAACGCCATAAACGGAATTTTATGACTTGCCAGGTTAAACCGATTTCCGCAGGGTCCATGTCCGCATCATCACCGTTTTTTTTCAGCACAGAAAGTCAACCAAAAACCTAGCTAAGCCCTTGCAGTTGAAACCCAAATACCAGTTATAAATGGTGATTTTTATGAGGTGATCATTCCATAAAATGGGGTGACTTCTCCTGACTCTGGTGCCTTGAAACAGAACTGGTTGAATTTTGTGGGAGATAACTTATATAATCCATTTAAACCACCAGGTCACAAAAATAAGACACCACGAAAAATGGATTGGTTTAACGGAATACAGTAAAATACAGGACACCATGTTTCCTTTTTTATGTCTACGGTGGCCCTTAACACTTGTAAATGGCATTATAACTCCTGCAACTAAGGTGATATTATCCATATATGTATATATCATATATCTTTTGGATAACTTAAATGAAGTCTTCTGAGCCAGTTGTAATTGCTAAATGCCCTAACTGTAGGAGTTTCAAGCATTTGGGTAGGTCTCACTTCAGGCCTCGGACCACCGAGGGTTTTCAAAAAATCCACCGACCGTCGCGACCTCACTGGCATTCGGGGAATTATTCCAAAATGGCCGTCTGTTTCTATGACAATCTAATAGATGGCGAAAATGGATATCGCAAACCCCGAGCAGAAAGCTGGTCGAGTTATAATTCTGTTTGTCATTGAAAATATGGCCATTCATAGTTCATTTATTTGGTTGGTGGTTTGGAACATGAATTTTATGTTTCCATATATTGGGAATTTCATCATCCCAACTGACGAACTCATATTTTTCAGAGGGGTAGGCTCAACCACCAACCAGTTGTAATTAACCATTCACCATCAAAGATTTTGATTTCTTGGCGCATTAAGGGGATATTTGAATATATTTCATGGCCATGGGATATGAATGGGAAAACCATGGGCAAATACATTGCAACTTACCAGTAATTTACCCAGAACCAATATATATGGTTTTCCACCCTCAAAGTCCCTGGCATAGAGCATTGGCCCACCTTTTTTTTTTTTCGAGGAAACGCTATGAGCAGAGTCTCGGCTGCAGATTTCGACGGAAACTCCACTGATCCACTGGAGGGTTGAATGGTGATTTTCTCAACGTACCGGGTCCTACTAAGTTGACTGTTATTCAGATATTCATCATTACCCTCTGGTTAATTTGTTACAGTTTGCTATTGAAAATTGCCATTTATACTGGATTTGTCCATTGAACATGGTGATTTTCCATAGTTATGTTAAGTTTACCAGATGGTATTTTGGGGAAGATGATGATTTTACCAAGAAAAATGCTGGGGTACGTTCCAGTGTGCTTATCATTTAACAGTGCCGCGTGTTGTTGCGCTAGCCGTGAATCCCCAGAATGTGGTCAATCCAATGAGAAACAATGCCATATTTTATACTCTATATATACAATGTGGGGCCCCCTAGTTATAAGTTGGTTTATAGCCCCATCTAACTATGGTTATAACTACCATAAACCCTAGTTATTGTAGTTATAAACCAACTTAGCTATCTTGGGGGCCCCACATTGTATATATATATAGAGATAGCATTTTTCGTAACATGTACTTCATCATGGTAGGTGGTATCAACACTTAAGATTCATTGGTTTATCAAAATAACATTGACCCAGCTTATCAGTTTATCAACCGGGGGAGAGACCATTTTTGATAGTACTTTAGTTTTCGTTTGGTGGTAACCTCCCTGGTACTGATCAGGGTTTATTCATCTGGGGTTTGCTATTATTAAGATATCGCAAACCCCGGTCGAGTTATAATTCTGTTTGTTATTGAAAATATGGCCATTCATAGTTCATTTATTTGGTTGGTGGTTTGGAACATGAATTTTATGTTTCCATATATTGGGAATTTCATTATCCCAACTGACGAACTCATATTTTTCAGAGGGGTAGGCTCAACCACCAACCAGTAGTTCATTGATCTATCGATTCCATGGTGAATTTCCTTGGAATTTCCATAGAGGCTCATCCCAGTCGATTAGCTCACCCCAGTAGGGGGGCTACTCCAGATGTAACTGGAGTTATCCGTTCACACAGGGGGATGAGCCACTTGAAGTGGCTTTACAGCATAGATAAGTTATATATATATATTATGATACCTACATGCTCCATGGTGCTGGAATGAAACCCCATTTTTATGGCCCAGTGTTGTAGGTAAATCTACTATACATGGAGCCTATGAGATATGATACTCTGGATGGTTGCGAAATCCTGCACTAGTTGGTAACTATTGGTAACTGTGAAACACCGAAAATAATGGGATCATAATTTAATGGGACAAACCATCCACCAACTGGTGCAGAATTTCGCAACCATCCACAGCATGTATTAATCCATTTACCAACGTGGATATAATCCCAAGTTAGGATATATAACCCATTTATCATCATCCCAACCTTGGATGGGTAGTTTAATCATGCTTAATCCTTTAGTTGTTGTTTCTATAACTTGGTTAAAACATAAACAGCAAAATATGGTGTTTGTTTTTTTGTGGACCCAAGATTGACATAGATTGACCATTTTCTGATTTTTTGCAATTTACCAACTGGGACTAGTGAATAAACACTTCCCAACGTCGTCGGATGATACTGAGGAAACCCGGGGCAAGCGCTGCGAGCGAGCCGCTGGGACATCAGAGGGTGTTGGCGGAAGTTCAAACCCGAAAGATACCCGCTGGTAATTTAACATAGCTATTGAAAATTGCCATTTATGGTGAGTTTTCCCATTAAAAATGGTGATTTTCCATAGTTATGTTAAATTACCAGAGGGTAGTCAGTGAATGGTTGGTGACCAGGTCATTTTTATATCGCCATTTCCACGGAGGATTTTTGTTGGCAGGGGAATTATTTGAGTGGCAATGGTAGCAAGACACTTATGATTCCTGGTTTATAAATGGCTGAATTCTATGGTTTTTGGTAGATATAACTATAGATAACTATGGTTAATGGGGTTTATAAACCAACTAACATCACTGGGGGACCCCATCCTGCGGGATGATTGTCCAAAAATTGCAGCTTTGCGGGATGAAGTTTGGCGTCGCACCATGAGTCAAATAGAACAACAGCGAGAAAGACACAGATACCAGGTTTGATTCTGATTGAAAAGGAACACAGGAATCAGGAATCCATTGGAATCTACCACTTGGTGATTAGTCCAACCTTGAATCTGGTGATGGAAACCATCAAGTGTTTTTTAATGAATATACCTTCTGGTAATTTAAAATGTCAATGCACAAAACTCAACTTTGAATGGACGAATTTAAGATGGGTCGATTGCCGAAAATTTAATGGATCATGTTCCGCGGGTTTTTTCTTGGCTTTTTGGGCTGGGGATTTTCATGGCGCATGCTCTATTTCCAGATCCCATAGGATCCATGTATGGTATATATGCTAACATTGGGGGTATATTGATGGTAAATGTTACCATATATAGCATACATGGATCCTATGGGGATTAGATTGCTGTAGTTTTACTACATTCTTCTGGGTAAGTTAGTAAGTTATAACATGTTATAACGACCTAAGCCTGTTCTCCCGAACCCTGGAATCATGGTTTCTATATGGGAAATCATCCCCTTTTATGGCCCAACAATTCAGCTTAGTGAATTATTAGGAAATTTACCTAGATTCTTCCTGACTTGAGTCTCCCGAAAAGGCAGCAACGCTCCCATCACAATGAAAGATAGTGATTCTTTATTTAGGATTTGTCTACCACTTCACTTGTGCAACTGTTGAAGGTGATCCCTGTAATGAAAATTATATATATATGTTATATATGTTGATTTATTTATGTCAGTTGTGTTGTTGGTCTATGTTACCCCATCCGACGGTTCGATGAATGCCCATAGATCCCATTGTTCGTCTCTAGAGATGTTAATACCACCCATGCTGAGTCCAAATTCGTGGAAGTTCGTGTCTTTTTACATGGGTCATTAAATGTCCCCATTGAACATCACCCAACCATTAGGTATATGGTCTATAATGGCTACTATAAGGTGATGTCCAATATTCCCAAAATGGGACAGTTACCAACCCCTATTTTAGTTGTTAACCCCCCGAAACATACCCTCTGGTAAACTAACATAAGTATGGAAAATCACCATGATTCATGGGACAATTTACTATTTCGACTGGGCCATTTTCAAGTTCGCAAACTGTTGGTCATTACCAGAGGGTATTTACCATTAATCACCATGAAAATCATGGATTAATCACCATGAAAATCACCATTTTCCTATGGTTTTCCTATGGTTTTCCTATGGTTATTCACGATGTTTCTCCATAGATCATGTGGAAACACAGGATTCATATCGGATAGATCCCAGAAATCACCCTTTTCGCCGGAAAATAAGTTGGTTCATGACCCCACCTACAGATAGTTACAGAGATATTGACCAGAAACACTAATACTATAGTGACTATACTATAGTGACTTGGTGGTGACTGGAACATGGAATTTTGAATGACTTTCCATATGAATTGGGAATAATTTTCATCATCCCAACTGACGAACTCACTCCATCATTTTTCAGAGGAGTTTTTATTCAACCACCTAAATTACCAGCGGGTAGTCCAACTTGGCTTACGTTTACGTTGGCCCAACTCCAACTCGAGCGCCGTGGCTCCTTGTGGCTCCTCAAACCCGAGGCCGGGGCCTTCGGAGCCTTCGAAGTGAAATTGCTCAGGAGTTGCGAACAAATCGTGAGTCATGGAACCCGGTTACCCGGAGAAAACATATGTGGATATCTGTAGGTATATATAGGTATAATCATGTCAACTGGTTGGTGGTTTGGAACATGTTGAAAATTTTCCCCAACCAGATTGGGGATGATGATCCAAGCTGACGAGCATATTTTTCAATGGTTAATAATGGCTAACCATGGGATATCTTATGGTCAATATTTTTTTACTGGTTAAGAATGATATGTTGTGGTGAATACTAAATACATTTCTTAGAAGCGAAAGATAACGACATCCTTTTGGTTTTGGGGCTGTCCACATGCCGAAATTCGGGTTCCCATGTGACTAAGTTTGCTGATTCATCCGGAGGATGTTTTTTTTGTGCGCAAAAATGACAAATCTGGTTGGTGGTTTGGAACATGAATTTTATTTTCCATAATATATGATATATAGGGGATGTCATCCTTCCCATTGACTTTCATCTTTTTCTAGATGGTTAAAACCACCAACCAGCATATGTTTTTTTTTGGCAGCAAATAGAAAGAATCTGCGCAATCTGCATTGTCTTTAGATGGATGCTGATCCAAGCCTTTGATTTCGGTGGAAAAAAATGCGTCCGTGTGCGTCTGCTGCGATCAAAGGGTTCATTGAAGAAGTCTCCCGAATAATAATCACCAGTCTATGAGATGTAATTTGTTATTCAGCCAAGATGTTTGATACCTGGATATTTTACACTTCACTAAACAGTTAAACTTAAGATCTGGATATGTATATAATTGTATATATATATATATGTATGTATATGTATACATACAAACATACACTGTGTGTACAATGTATGTAATGTAATGCAATGCAATGTAATGTCATGTCATGTCATGTCATGTCATATATTTAAGTAAGGTTATGTGTGTAAGTATTCTTTGACAATCTCAAATCCCTGCGTAGCGCCAGTGCTTTTGATGTTCAAAATGTTCATACATTTTCCATAACAAACTCCAAACGCTAGAAACCAAAACCCTTTGAACCCAAAACCGTAAAATCCTAAATCCTGGAAGCACAAAGTCAAGAAAGTGAGGATTTGAATCTCTACAACATGACATGAGTTTTGGGGGTTGCATCCCAGTTAGTAAGTGGGTAGCAACTAACGACATATACTCATTCGAAAATAGATTGATTCTATGCGGGTTACAAACCACTTCAAATTCCTGGGATGCGCAACCTAAGTGGGATAGTGGGTATGTCTGAAAATAAGGTGCCTCAAAGTCAAGTGGTTTATCATTTGTTTTCTTCAACTGGACTGTTAATGGGAAGTACACCTGTTTTCGGACAGATACAAATTGGATAGAACCCAGTTATGCATGAACTGTTTCCAGTTAGATATGGATTGTATATGGGTGATGTTCACCTCTTTCGATTGCTAAGTCCCACATATCCAAGTGAACGATGAAAAATACCACCTATCCAGTCCCCTACATTGGTTGATTAATAGGTATCCCAATGGAGACAGGTGGTATCACAGTATAACCATGTATAACACCCAGTTCATCACCAATCAACAGAGGTATGTTGGCTCTATTTTGTATAGCTCCAGACATGGCCATGTAAATCCGCGAAATGTTGGGAATATCACGTTCTACCATGAAATTGTATGGCTATTCACATCTATTCAGCATATTTTCAAAGAACCCAAGGTCGAACATCACCATCGCTTAGTTGCCTAAGGATGACTGGGCCGTCCACTACCACACCGTGCCCCAAAAACCGGTGCGGCGCCACCTCTCTGAACGGCAGTGGCGTCGTGGGGAACGGTTTCGGCAGCAGAGGATGCGATGGGCAGGCGGGGCTTTGAAACTTTGGCATTCGGGGGATTTTTTTCGGGGTTAGTCATTACAGGATGGTGCCCCCCAGTTATAAGTTGGTTTATAAACCCCATTAACTATAGTTATAAGTACCATAAACCATAGTTATTGGAGTTATGTTCACCAACTTAGCTAACTTTATAAGAATCTCATAGCCACAGACTGAGGTATGAAAAAAAGATATTTTTATCATTTTTTATCCCAAGATCTTCAAACAAAACATCATATAAATCATCCTCTCTTTTATCATCTGAAATGGTTATCTTTTTGATTATCTTTTGTTTCTTCGTCTAACCAGCCTCTCTTTTAACATTTGACAGGGTTATCTTGTTGTTTTTTCTTTGTATGGATTGTCAAAGGTTTTTATCCTCTGTGTTTTCTATCACGTCGTCTTTTCTTTTCTTGACTTTCTTTGCTACTGCACTTCCTCTCCTGTCTTCTCCACTTGATCTTACCCTTTAAGTGTCGTTTCTTTGATGTGGGCTATATATACGTATATAGATAGATAGATAGATAGATAGATATATATATAACATAATAAAATCTATTAAACCATATCAAACCATCAACCGGCTTTATTTGCCTGCGCTTACTGTCCCAGGTCATGGATGGCTGTAGAGGAGTGTCAATTTGGGGATCGCTCGACGCAAAGTAGCTATGCGTTTTGTTTTTGTGTTTGTCCCCTTGCTAAAACTTAATTTGTCTTAATTTACTGTAAAGTTTTCATTGTTTTCATTTAGTTTTCAAACGGTTCATTGATGTATCCATTGTTTTTGCTTATTTGTTTTATATTGGCGCCCCGCAGAGAAGTTTCCAAAATCACAAAAAAAAAACATCTTTTAAATCATCGTAGAAATCATCATTTTCTCCACATTTCCAGTGGCTTGCCACTTTTTCAATCATTTTGAAGCATTTTGAAGGAAAACGAAGGGAACATCCCAAAAACGATGATTTAAACGATGATTCAAACGATAAAAAAATGATAATTTCCCGCAGTTTTATCATTTTTTTATCGTTTGAAAGCTGTCCCAAAATCATCGAAAAATCATCGTCGAAATCATCATTTTCTCCATTTTGGAGCATTTTTAAGGAAAACGAAGGGAACGTCCCAAAAACGATGATTTAAACGATGATTCAAACGATAAAAAAATGATAATTTCCCGCAGTTTTATCATTTTTTTATCGTTTGAAAGCTGTCCCAAAATCATCGAAAAATCATCGTCGAAATCATCATTTTCTCCATTTTGGAGCATTTTTAAGGAAAACGAAGGGAACATCCCAAAAACGATGATTTAAACGATGATTCAAACGATAAAAAAATGATAATTTCCCGCAGTTTTATCATTTTTTTATCGTTTGAAAGCTGTCCCAAAATCATCGAAAAATCATCGTCGAAATCATCATTTTCTCCATTTTGGAGCATTTTTAAGGAAAACGAAGGGAACATCCCAAAAACGATGATTTAAACGATGATTCAAACGATAAAAAAATGATAATTTCCCGCAGTTTTATCATATTTTTATCGTTTGAAAGCTGTCCCAAAATCATCGAAAAATCATCGTCGAAATCATCGTAGAAATCATCATGTTTTCAACGATTCCCAGGAATGCTACCCAAAATCATCGTAGAAATTATCATTTTTCAGCATGTCCCAGAAAAGTCACCCGGAATCATCCTAGAAATCATCATTTTCTCAACATGTCCCAGAAAGGCTACCCAAAATCATCCTAGATACCACCCTAATCCTACAAGTGTCCACAAATCACCCTAGCTAAATCAAAAAGTCAGCCATCCATGTGGCTTGAATCCTTTTGGAACATGGGTTTATGAGTTTATCGGATACTCTCCGCTGGAATTGGAGGGGCATGATGTGACATAGATACTGTCGCTAAGTTTACTCAAATGACATAGAGATTAAACTAGCTTCTTTGGACCAAGATGACATCGAGATTAAGACCCGCGACTTATAGGAGAGCAAACAGAAACCTTTGGCAAAAAACAATGACAAATCCCAGGATGGATTCAGGAAGGTTACTATGTTGAATGTAGGCTTGCAAAAAAAACTTCGAATAGATTAGGTTTGATTAGACCTCGCTGTAGATGTGATGGACTGTCTATCTATGCCATGCCTTTACGTATCCCTGGTTTTCTGGGGTCGGCGGCAGGGGCAGCAGCCCTGGAAGAAATCCTAGGATGGATTCTAGGATGAATTTAAGATGGCAAACAGCAGAGGATAAATCCCAGGATAAATCCAAAGATGAAGTTAGGAATCCAAAACGCAGATGATGAATCCCAGGATAAATCAAACGATGAATTTAGGAAGGTTCCAACGACAAAATATCTTTTTTGGGTTTTCCATTCCCTGGCTGACTAAGATTCTTATAAAGCTAACTATGGGGCACCACCGCCGTTAGGGATCCCTGGGCACCCCATAAGTTAACCATGGTGAACCTATACGAAACCATGGAGCGATGACGAGGATTTCCCCAGTTCCGCCTTCGAGAGAGTCTCTAGCTCATTGCGAAAAAGTGCAATGCGGAGTGCACACGTGGGTACACAGCTAGTCCTTACCCTCTGGTTATGTCAAAATAGCTATTGAAAATGGCCATTTATAGCGGTTTATAGTGGATTTTCCCATTAAAAATGGTGATTTTCCATAGTTATGTTAGTTTACCAGAGGGTAAGTACATTTGTCAAGCCTTTCCATGTTCGACTGAAGATTGGAGGTAGGGAATCTGTGGCCTCATATGACATTGTCAGAGCAACAGAAAATAATAGATCACCAGTAAGGGTCCAAAAGAAGCAACCTCCATAATCATTCATCGCTTTCCCATGGTCACAATTTTCAAGTGGATGTTGTTTGGCCCTCAAAAGATTGTGGTGTTTTTGAAAATGTTGGGGTTCCCTTGTAAATGCCTTGATGCCACCAACTACCCGAACAAAGAAAATCAGCACGACTTTGTTGTGAAGCCATTTAGTGGCACGATTCCAGCTTGCAGAATTCCAGCACAGATAACTGATGTTGCAACATGATCAAAGCGTGTTTGTATTCAATCAGTCTGTGCGATACACGCTAAGCCCCGAGAAAAGAGGTCACTGAGAAACCGGTCGGGTCGTCTATTCAAAGGACAGCTTGGGATCATGCCGATTCCACTTAGTATGGTAACCATATGGCAGCCTTTTACATACGCGATAAGCCACTGAGTACTTGAACTCACACCAGGGTTATAAGCAGTTTTTATCCCGTCGTTTCATAAATCTTCTCATCTTACTGGTGCGTTTTACAAACGTAGGGTTGCTGGATGAGTTGCTGGATGGGTTGCTGGGATGACATTACGAATGTGATGACTGGGATCATTCCCGAAAATTCCCGAATCGTAAAACGCACCAGTAAGTCATGGCAATTCAAGCTACAACCGTTGGCCCAGCCCTTGGGGATCCCACACAGAGACCTTTTTATTGGGGAGATCCTGCAGGTACCAGCACTGTAGCAGTGCCGCTGCAGCCCCAAAGGCGTGGGAGCGAAATATGCTGCCCCCCTGGTTGGTTCATACAAAAATAAAGGGTTCGAAGCAGCAAAACTTGAAACCCAACATGACTTAACCACCAAAAACTTGGGATTTACTAGACGTGATAGTTGTTAGCTGCATTGGTTTATAAATCAAGGTTCATGGTGATGAAATAACCAACTGATAGGTGGCACCACGTGATCGGAGTTGAATCATCAAACTGTAGGTAGTAAGTAGGTAGTAGGTAGCAGGTAGTAGGAGTAGTACTACTAGTAGTAGCAGCAGCAGTAGTAGGTGTAGGTAGTAGCAGGAGAAGAGTAGTAGTGGCATTCTACCTGGCATTCTATATCTGACATTCTTTTCACGCATTCTATCTAGCATCTATTCTGACTTTCTATTTTGCCATTCTATCTGGCATTTATTCTGACATTCTCTCTGACATGGGCACTGCCGGTCCTGATCTGGACCTCGCAGTTGAGGTCCAGCAGTGTCCGCCGAGATCTGGAGTATTTCCAAACATTCTGGGCAATCTCCCAGATCAGGCGTTCTTCCCAAGGTTTGGAGTTTTCACATGAGACGACAGTTGTTTTTCGTTTCTTTACGGGAAAAAACAGTTTGAAAAGCTACTGCTTTTCCAAGGTCCCAACTTCCAACGATGCAAGCCATGGGTCCTCGAAGCTGCAAAGGCTGAGGGCAATCTGTGCGACCCTGAGCATTGTCGGCCGAGGAGTTTCGACATGCACAGGCGTGCCAAGTGAGTGCTCCAAATGCCGGTGAATTGTTTTTTTTGTGATGGGTATGGCAATTTTCGATACTAAACCATCCGTTTTGGGAAGTGTCTATACCACCCATTCATGGCTATTTTGGGGGTGGTTTATTATAAGGGTAGGAATCAATATCATTGACCCCAAGAACTATTTTCATTATCGCAGTTGTTCAAACACACGGCTCACACAAAAGGGTTGAAGACTTGTTGAGGTGGGTGAGCTAGCTTTTCGAGATTTTACCCTATGACTGTTTGAGCTGCCTGGACAGGAGTCAAACTAGTGGTGCGCAAAAACGGCCGAAAACAATCATTTCAGATCACTTTTGTAAGATCACCTTGAGCCTTTTGGGTGATCAGCACCAAAAAACATGCGAACTTAATAAGTGGACACAGGCCAATTATTTTATTGATTTTGGGATGTGAAAGGGGAGATGCCAGTTCAGCAACCCAGGTCTCCGGTCCTCACGACGCGCTCACCAGAAACAAATCATCACCGACACGGAGGGCTCGTGCTCCGCCCACCGGCTCCGGCAGTGCACTGAGCTCTGGACCTCACGGTTGAGGTCCGGCAGTGCCCACTGAGATCTGGAGCCCGCAGTTGAGGCCCGGCAGTGCCCACTGAGCTCGCAGTTCCGGCCGGGCACTGCCCGCAGTTGAGGTCCGGCAGTGCCCATTGAGATCTGGAGTTTGCTGTTGGGAGGAACGAAGGGAAGGACGGAAGGAGGAAGTACATAACTCTAATAATACAATATCTAGACCCTCACCTGATAGGTGGGGAAAAACAAGAACCCCACACAAAGATGCGGGGACACAAAAATGCGGCTTCCATGGTTTTCCTACGTTTTCCAATATTTTCCAAGGTGTTCCCATGTTTGGTGAATGCCTTCCTGCCACCTTGGCCCTCCAGGCAGCCGCGCGCCCTCAACGCGCTGAGTCGCACCGCGCGGCGCCTCGCACGGCAGAGCGGCGTGCTGGAAAGGAGCGCGGCTGCTGCAGAGCGTCATATCTTCTGGGAAACCAAAATTGGTTGTTCACAAAATTTCACAAATGTTCACAAAATATCGCCCGTTCATGTCAACAAAAGATATATTAGATTATATTAGGAAAATCAGGATTAGATGATCAGATTTCACCTGATAGAATGCGTTGGGATTTTTGCCATCAGCAGTGTTTCTTAACAAATTATGGATAGAACATGAAAAATGGTGGGAAAAACAACAAACTGGTAGTTTGGGCACTTTAGTGCCGTCTAATTTTGTGTGATAAATTGATAATATACATATATATATACACACACCTAGAATACAAGTGTATATATATATATATATTATTTGCGATAAATAATTTAACCAATTCAAAAATTGTTTTTGTTTACAATGTGGGTTGGTGATGAAATTTTTAGCCCGTTTTCAGCTACTAATTGATGATTTGCATAAGCTATACACCATTATACACCTAAGTATATGCAGTAATTGTTTTACATGATTTTTTAATTAGCAACCACTTACTGTACAAATTTGGTTTAATTAAAACTCATGGTTGAAGCACGTTGTTTTTTCCTGTTACTTGTAAACGTTCACAATGAATTCATGGAACCCATTCTGTGACATGCTCATGAATCATGAAGAACGTACTTTGAACGAGTCAGTGTAGGTGGTGAAGGTTCTTCTGAATTTTCGATACCTATTTGATGCGTCATCAGAACACTTGCAAAAACGTACGAATATGTCCAAAATTGTTTGATTTTTGGCATGTGTTTAAGGGGAAAATGATGAGGTTGCCCTAATGAATTCAAAAAATGGAATCTGAACCATCCAACATTTGGAAACCATTCTTAGGCAATGTGGAGTTGAGAGAGTATGGCAAATGGGGTTGGCATGCGGACAGATTTATATTTCTCTACAAGGGAAAATTAGTACTGTACAGAAAAATGTGTTGCAGGGTATTTATGTCTTTGGTGGACAGGTTGGAACATGTGTAGTTTTGAATACAACAAAAATGAACATGTCAAATTGATTTGGACAAACATCTAGATCTTGACTTGCGAACTCAGAGACGAGGCACCATAAATGATGGAAGTTGATACGCTGGAAATCATGGAAGAACATATTCAACTAAGTTGGGGGTTTACATGTACATCAATTATCATCAATTTACTGGGTCAATTTGGTTGGTAGGTGCACACACTTTCCGCGTTTGTTGCCGGGCTATCCAACAAATGTGGAGAAGTATTTTTCACCCATCCCCCGGTCATATTGTCGACACACCCGTCACATCCATTGTACGGTCCGAAATATGTGTATAGGGTACAAGGTGGTGCCCCATAGTTAGCTAAGTTGGTTTATAACTCCCATAACTATGGTTTATGGCAGATATAACTATACGTAATGGGGTTTATAAACCAACTTATAACTGGGGGGCATCATCCTGTATAGGGGAAAACGGATTGAATCGGATTGACCAAGTCAAAATGTTCGTGGGAAACCGGGCCAGGAGCACACCCAGTGAGCGCCACATGGGACGGGGTGAGCGAAGATCCTTTGAGCAATGACCACGCGGCTGCGCTGCTCCGGAGGGTCTATGAATCTAGATATTGTAGAATGTTAAGAAAGCAATAGGATCCACCATCCCCAATTTTTCCATGAATATAGGTGATATAAACCGTATAAACCTGTATAAACCATCAAACTCTGGGTGGTTTACAATGTTGCATTACGAACATGATTGGAATTCAATTATGTAAGTCTATGCAGCATTTGTTGATTGTTCCCTCTGGTAAGTCAACATATGTCAACATAGATAAATAATCTGTAAATCGGCGATGTTCCATAATGTTAAATTCCTAGAGGGTAAAATAATTCTGTGTCGCTAGCGAAATTCAACGCGAGTCAAGGGCGGGATTCTGCTGGTGAACCAGCTGGAAAAGAATTGAAGTCGGCATCCAAGAATGGTGGTCTAGCAACCAAAAGATGGAGAAACAGGGACAATCCGGTGAGTTGTGATTTTTTGGCCATTTTCCAGGCGATATGAAGCTCATCTAAGCAGGGGCACCAGTATTAACCACTTCAGATTATTGTTGCACAGGGTATGAAAGATTGGGTATGTTCAGTGTTCCAGACTTTCTAATCTTTCTAGGGATTGGCAAAGACAGGAGCAGCCGACCAAAACCAGAAGTGGGCAATACATTGTCGATGCAGATCATGTACAGTCTTCAAAACGCGCGTCACTGCGCGGGCACAACGCCTGTTTTATCTTGTAGAAATCCTTCCCGTCCACTGTCAATACCTGTGGACGCGAGAGTTCAACGTACAGTGTACAGGATTTGATGACCCGTCAACGCCGGATGAACTTGAAGTTCAAGGTTTGTGTTGGATTCAGCTATCTCGGATGCAGATTGCGATGTGAGTCGGAAAAAAACAGGGATTCGCAAAGGGCAAATCTTAAGGTGAATGGTACCCTCCGGTAAACTAACATAACCATGGAAAATCACCATTTTTAATGGGAAAATCCACTATTTCTATGGCCATGTTCAATAGTTGTTTGTATGTTTACCAGAGGGTACATTGAAGTGTTTAAATGGATGTTTGGCCATCTTGATAGGGATTGATAGGGTATATACCCTCTAGTTATTCGTTACATAGCCATGGAATAGATGGCCCATCGAAATAGATGGTTTAGCTGTTAAACATGGTGATTTTCCATGATGTCTATGTTAAATAACCAGATGGTAATGGTATTTATATTAATTATCCTCATATCCGTTAACTTTCTGGCCGGGTATCTTACATTGGTCATGTGCTCAGTGGTGCTCAGTGGTGCTCAGTGGTCCGCGAGGTATTGAATTACGTACTGTTTTGTGTGCTCAAAAGAAGGGTCAGCACTGCAAAACGACTGGTGCACGGCTGGTTCATGGTGATGAAATCTGGCTATAGCTATTTGTTGGACAACTGTTGTTTTCACTCGTATGGAGGATATGTGCCATGTTCGAAACATGATTTGTCTTCCCATGTATTCCCATAACTAACGGGGAAAGGACTGTTGGTCATCAATCCCATTGGATAGATGAGCATCCCCCCAAATTAAATGTGTTTTGACCATGGCAAATACCATGTGAAGCACGGATGTATATACCAGATTTATCCATATTTGATGAATCATGAGTTACCCTCTTGTAAATTGACAACGCGTTGGAAAATCAGCCATTTATAGATGATTTACCTGTAAAAGTCTTGGTATTCCAGTGCTATTAAATGATTCTATTTGCTCTTGAGTTGGGTGGAGCCATCATATTAATGCACAGCTGACATTGTTGCTGTCGAGTGTGCCCTTGAAGATCCAATGGTGATCCAGTTCTTTCGAAATGAACCTTTTTCATCCTAGCCTTTTTTCGGCCCATCCATTCAAGTGATCTTGCAACCAGATCTGGTCGAGTCCATTCGAATCCTTTTTTTATGTCGCAAACCTGCGCTAAAACCATCTAAAATCCCCCTGTCATCTCCGGCCGTGCGTGAAATCTGACTGAAGACGCCGGCCCCTTCTGACGTGGAGAGATAGTCGGTTTCGACCCAGTTCTTGGGGATGGTTTAGGTCATTGGTGTCATGGGGGTACCTCAGGACTCATAGATTGGGATTTTCCAACCCTAAAACCCTCCAGCGATTTGGGGTATAGGTATCCCGGATATCCCCATGACGAAACGGAAACCCCCATGAAAGTATACCCAAAAGGCTTTCAGATATGCTATATATGCTAACATAGATCCCATCAATATACCTCCAATGTTAGCATATATAGAAGCACCATGGATCCGTGTTGGGATACCCAAAAGTTTGTCAGATATGGGATGACCGGATCAACAACACAGCCATTAGCCACGGTTGGATGAAGTGACACTCAGCAAAGCCAATGGTTTTTCGAAAAAAAACTCTGTGGTTCCTTTAGATTTCCCATAAACCAATCCATTTATATCATGTTATTATATCCGTTTTCTCCCAAGAAGATGATCATTAAAAAAACTCGAAACTCGATGGTGAAATCATGTGAAAAATCCTGAAATCTCCCAGTCGAATTTGTTGTTTGAAAATCCGAAGCAATTTTCCATGTCACCAAGTCTGGTTGGTGGTTTGGAACCATGGAATTTTATGACTTTCCATTCAGTTGGGAATGGAATAATCATCCCATTTGACGAACTCATATTTTTCAGAGGGGTAGGTCAACCACCAACCAGAAGATGACCAGCCTAGAATAAACTGAGTTAGTTTCCCATTTACAAAGGTACACTCACTGATTCTTGTGGCAAACCCAGCAAGGCTTTTCCGGTTCATGGGGGTTTCTCACCACTAGGTCAATCTTAGATGGGTACTTTAATCCTGAATAGTCTTTTGGTAATGGGAATATCCACGTTCACCAGCAAAGAATTGAAAAACAATTGCAGATGGTTGCCATAGATTTTCCATATAATCACCTATGGTTCATGCAGGATGATGCCCCCCAGTGATGTTTGTTGGTTTATAAACCCCATGAAGTATAGTTATATCTGCCATAAACCATAGTGAAATGGGAGTTATGTTCACCAACTTAGCCAACGAACTGGGGCACCCCCTTAGCGATTTGCCTCACTGGGGCACCACCAATCTTCGCCATAGATTTTCCATCATTTATGGTTCATTTTCTAACCTAGTGGTGAGAAACTCACCTACAAGGTGGTGCCCCAGTTCGGAATCGCTAAGTTGGTGCGTTTATAACTCCCATAATTAACTATGGTTTATGGCAGATATAACTATAACTATTTATGGGGTTTATAAACCAACGTTCACATCACTGGGGGGCACCATCCTGTATGGTTCATGGGGGTTTTCACCAGTCTCCCATGGTTTTGGTTCGTCCTTTGTTCGTCCTGGCCAGGCGCCGGAGGATGGAACGACGTTACCCACCGGGTGGACGAAGCATTGGTCCAGCTCCAAGCAGCTCGAGATGCATGGCGGTTGTGCTGTCAAAATCCCCAAAAAAACCAGGTTTGAACATGATGAAATGGTGATTTAATGGGTGGTAAATGGTGATTTAATGGGGGTTAAATCGGTTAAATGGTGATTTCATGGCCAAAATCCTAAGTAGATTATATCCATGGTTACTAAGTCAATCGACTGGATGGCTAGAAACTAATCCTTTAGTCTTTTGATATCAATGGGATTATCTACGTTCACCACCTAAGAATTTATTTGTTGTTTGCCGGGTGTCTAATATTGGCCATGAAAAGACTGCTTGATCATGGTGAACCATCCATTTAAAGGTGACTTCATGGTGACTTCATGGGGATTTCATGGTGATGTCATGGGATCCATCATGATTTAAGGTTTTACATATTTATGGAAATTTATGGAATATATATTATTATATATATATGATTATGTGTATATCTATAATTATATATACACCCTATGACAATGATATGTATATATATCTCTCTCAAAATGGAGGATCCCCAAGTCACAAAATGGTTGTTTCCATACATGGTCTGTGAAGACCTGGCTGATTTCGGCGTTCATTTGAGGAAAGCTCCACAGCTGGGGATTTAACGATTTTTTGTTGTTTCATGGGATCTAAAGCCACTAATAATGGGACTATAAATGGGTATAACTACGGTGATATAATGTGAATATCATGGAAAGATCATGGAATAGAAACTATCACCAATAATGATCAGATACTCTCTGGTAATTTGTTACAGTTTGCTATTGAAAGTGGCCATAGAAATAGTGGATTTACCCATTAAAACTGGTGATTTTCCATCTTTTTTTGTATGTTTGAGGCTACTTGGTATCGAACTACCTACGACTTCGAAGTAGGTCATATCCCTGGTTTTGTTTTGAGTGGGATAAGTAGGGGATAATCCACCCTCTAAGTACAGGATAACTATCCCCCAGTCGAGCTCGCGTGTTGAGATATGGCTGTGGCTGCACTGAATTTTATGGTTTATGGTAGATCAAACGAAGCTGGGTGATTAACTATACCCTAGGTTAAGTAACTATAACCATAGCGGGTTGGTGGTTTGGAACATTTTTTATTTTCCATAATATATGGGATAATCCTTCCCATTGACTGATATTTTTCAGAGGGGTTGAAACCACCAACCAGATAGTAGTTTAACATAGTTTAACCCTAACTCTACTTTTCATGGCTGTTTTATAAGCCAACAAAGATAACTGGCGACTCCCATTGTGCAGGGTGAACTGACTTAACGTGCAGCAAACCCTAACTAGATACTATAGTAAATAGATAGAACCGTAATTCTAATAATTCGGCACTATGTAAGTGGGATTTCACTGTTCTATCTTGTTGGGAATTAATATATAATATACATATGGGGGTTGTTCTAAAACCCTCCTGTTAAAATTTAGTAAGCAGTAAGCAGGTTTGTTGAGAACTTTTGGGTAGTTTAAAACCTGCATCGCGCAAGTTTCGTGCAAAGCCGGCCCAAGGTTTTGCGTAAGGGAAATTACATAGTGCTGGGTAAATTATAACGACCTCACTGCGACCTCACTGGAATCATGGTT